TACTTCAATGTAAATAGAGAATGATGTAAAATTAAGTTATATTAATTTTTAAGCTAAAATTGCCTGTACTTATGTATGTAACCTTTTGACTTGTTCTGTATCCAAAGGTACTAACCTGCTTAGGATTTATAGAATGTAAATAAATTCAATTCAATTCAATATATCATGCAGAGTCGGAAACCATTCAGTTTATTCCCTAATAAATTTTGTAAAACTTCTGTGAAGAATTTAAGATGAAAATAAATGAAATTAACCTACACTTGTAAGCAGACAGTAAGTGTGACTGTCTGAATAGGTAATTAAATTGGAAGCACAGCTGATCATGGATAATATTTTCACAGCAAAAGTATCAATAATAATAATAATAAAATATATAACATCACAAAACATACTTACTCAAGGCTGCCTTTCAATTTCTTTACCCCAAGAAAAGCCAGTACTTGAGCTCGGCTTGGTCCAAATCTCAGCATTGCTTGTAAATACTGTTCCAGACTCTGTCTTCTTCTTTCTAGAACCTTTGGCTGACAGCTACGCACCCTTTTTGGTGGAAACAATGGGGTGCTATAGCATTTTCTCAACTGGTAATGAGAGGAAGACATGTATGGTGTTAGATCATTTTCCTGATTGTAATATACTACTGGTGAGAACGCTTCCGATTATTATGGGCACAGCAAATGCATCATAAACATCTTTAAACTTCATAAATGATCTGCAACAAACTTAACCTAGCGTCTGCATACAACTACTTATCTCATTCTCTTACATCCTAGACAGCCTATGGTGACTCACTCAGGATTCTCACATTGTTGACCTACACGTCATTATGTCATTACTCCATATACCATCATTCCATCTAGCAATTTATGACTGCCACGACTGGCAGAGGCAATAATAACATCATATGCTAGAATGATTTATATAACTGCGTTCATTTATTTGATATGGGAATTATTTACCTCTCTATGTAAACAGTGGAAGGCGCTATAGCGCCTTTCAATTCGGTGATGTTTACCTCCTTCCAGTACTTCCACAACATAAACGTAATGAGGTTTTCCTGGTGGTTCGTCCGCTAGACGATATCGTGGTATATATATTTGTGTCATTGAAACACTTATTAAAATCTTGGGCATAGTAAGGGTTGAATACAAAGCCTATCACTTCATTTCTAAATTTGGTCAACCCATTATTTCGGATGACTCCTCGCTTTACAATTAACTCAAACGTACGTCACACACACTATCAAAGCCATCAAAGCTATCAAACAACTCCATTGACCCAGCCTCAGAACGCTCAGAACGCTCAGTTCAGAACCGCTCAGAACGATCGGGTCCTATTGCACACAGTGTCGATTAAATGCGCCCTATTGGTACTGCAGAATGAACTTGATACTAAACGGCAGTTAATTATGCTACAAGGCTGCAAGGGATGCGTTGCAGACACAAGTTTCCAGGACAATACAAGCCACTTGTGGTGGAAATATTTTGCTGAAAGTACGCATTTTCCATTATTACGAACCGAGCAAAGTATCTTAGACGCGTGATATGAATGGGACCAACTATCGTAATCGAAATGTTTCTCGCAGTTGCCAGTCGTTTAATGTAGTCGTTATAAATGTGTGGTTCGCGAGACTATTTTTGTCTTCTTATTGTACGTTTGGAGGAAAAATATATTGAATATTTTATGAACTCTGTTTATTAACTCAATATTGGTATGGATTTCTGCCAGTTAAATAGAAGTGGCCTAACCACGTAGACAAAGAGAGGAGAGGCCCTTCAGTCTGCAGTGTTACAGTGGGACCACTTCTATTTATTATTTACATTAATGATTTGCCTCCATATATTAATAAATTGGCTAAAGTTTTTCTTTTTGCTGTTGATACCAGTGTTTTGGTTACTGGTAATAATCATGATGAGCTTAAGCATAAAGTCAGGGATAAACTGTCTCTTATAAATTGGTTCACAGCCAATAAGTTGGCCTTAAATATCACTAAAACTAATATTATTAGGTTTGCTCTAAAACAGTCCTATAACTCTCTGGCAGTTGCTAGTGGGAATTTGTTTATAAATGAAGTTTCTGTGATAAAATTTTTGGGTCTGCAAATTGATAAGAATNAAAAAAAAAAAAGTAATAAGGATTATATCTGGAATGGGACCTAGAGACTCTTGTAGGGATCTTTTTAAGAAATTGAATATACTGCCATTGTCATGTGAATACATTCTCTCGTTGATGATGTTTGTGATTGATAATCAAACTAAATTTTGTTCAGGTTTAGATGTTCATGGTTTGAATACAAGAAATTGAAAGCAATTATATTTGCCAAACTCGAATCTTTCTGCTTTTCAGAAAGGTACTATGTTTACTGCTATTAAACTATTCAACAGATTGCCCATAACCATTCAAAGCCTTAAAGAGGATAGAATTAGTTTTAAAAATAGGCTGTTTCTATATCTTATGAATAATTCCTTTTATACAGTTTCTGAATATGTGGAGCATAACATAAACAATTAGTTTTAATTATTTTGTTATCTGTGTTTGTTTAGATTTTTGTATGATGACCTTCATGTCCATTTGTTTGGACTTGTGAAATGAAATGTATGTATGTATACTGGGGGCTACAGCCTAAAAAATTTTGAAAATCACTGCCTTATATTAACTTCCAGGCATGCACACACATGAGGAGCAAACAATACCAGGCTCCCAAGATTCTTTAAAAGAATGAGCGAATATTCAAAATATTGATTTTTTTAATCACATAAAATGCCTCCCACCCAGAAAAAATCCTGCAGTGCCCATGCTTGCATGACAGGAACATAAGAAAACGCTTATTTAAAATGAACAGAAAGGGAAGTCGTGGCTTACTAGCATTTCAGTGTGACATAAATGTTACAAAAAATCTCATTAAAGATAACTTGTGAAACAGCTGCCATGTACTGGTACGTAGCAAATATGCACTGCAATGCCATGTAAGGAGTACATACTCCTTCCAACTTTCATATTCCTTAATTTTTTCAAAGATGTATACCACATGTTGTTAATACTTGAACGTAAAACGGAGGAAGTAACTGATGGCTGAAGAAAACTGCATAATGAGAAGCTTCATAAATTGTGAAATAGGATGATCAAATCAAGAATGATATCGAAGAGCAGAGCATGCATGGTGCAGGTGCAATACAAGATTTTAATTGGGAAACAAAGTGTGTGAAGCATCATTTAAAAGAATGCCTACTGGGACAAATTTTGCCATTATAAATTGACTGAAAATTCCAGTTACAGAAACTGTTAGGTGATATTAAGATAATATTAAAAATATTAAAATGGCTATTAAAAAATGGATAATGGCAGGGGGGGGCATCTGCCCTAGTCTCAAATTTCTGGAAAATCAAAATTGGAGGGGGCAGGAAGGAAATATACTAAGTATTAAAACCCAAAATTAAATTTGTTAAAAGGACTCTTCTTCTATCCTTAATACAAACAGTGATCTGTAAGAATATTCTTCAACAGCTTAAATGTAAATTGTAAAGCAAATTTTTTGGAGAAATCTTGGCAGTGCCAAGTGTTCAGTGAATGGATCAGCTGCAGGCTCTCATGAACAGAGTAATGAAAATAAAGAACAGTTTTCTGTGATATGCTGCCATGTACTTTGATGCCTATCTACCAAACTATACTGATTCACATGCCTGGAGACTTGTAATGTTCATAGTCACCACCACAGAAACCTCAGATGTCATGGTAACAAGCCACTGGTTCCCATACAAGGCATTGAATTTTTTGATTAGTTGAGCAACTGTTAGCTTCTCAAAAAGGAATCTGTTCTGTTCAGTTAGTCAATACTGATTTTGGCCTGGCCTGAATACACATTTCACTGTCCTTCCATCAGCTCATATAATTGAGAGAAGCCTCTCCAGGGTATATGAAAAGTCAGGACTAAGAGATATAATTAATTATATCTTATTTACTGGTAATAATGTCACTAAGCCTAGAAGGGAATGTAGAAACTGTGCTGTTCTGTGGACATAAAAGGTTGAACACAGGTTGCAGAGGCAATTAACAGTTAGTATCCATAGAAAACTTGGGTTATCACAGTCAGCAGTAGCAAAACTCTTGAAAAATATGAACAGATAATGTAAACATGCTACTGATCCTAACTTTCCAGTTATTCTGTATATAGAATGGTGAAACTACTTTGCCATTTTCATAGACCTATGTATATAAGTCAGAGAGAGGTCAAAATTGAATTCAAAAGAACCTAAGTAATAAATAATGTACAGTTTTACAGACCTTCAGTAAAATCAAGGGGTAATGAAAGGTAAAGAAAAAACTTTCTTCTGAGAATTTACAAACTGAACAATCAGGATTTGGACAACTGAGAGTTGTGCTGTAGATGGTTCAGTAAGTCAGTATTACAATAAATGTTGGCTGTCATAAGAAAAACTTTGGTATTGTATGAGGGTAAGTCAATAAGTAAGTTACAAAAGGATATAGAACTTAAACAAATAAGAGTACTGATTTGAAAAATGCTTTTATTTCTGAACATAATCTCCCTGTACATTGAGGCACTTGTCTCATCGTTTCACAAGCCCCTGAAAACTAGCAGCATAAAATTCTTTTGGCTGCTGTCAGAACCAGGCAGTGACTTCCCTATCTACAGCTTCATTGTCGGGAAAATGTTCAGGCGAAAGATGATGTTTAAGAGAGCTGAACAAACAGAAGTCACTTGGAGCAAGGTTGGGGCTACATGGAGGATGCTCGAGGACTTCCCACTTGAAATTTCGCAGCATCTCATTTGTCTTGTTGGCAGTATGGGGACACATGTTGTCATGCAGGAACAACACGCCTTTGGTGAGGAGTCCTGGTCGCTTCCGTTGAATGGCCTTATGAAGTTTCCTGAGGAGTCTGCATTTACGGTTTGTCCTTGAAGCTGGAATGCGGTGAGCAGTATGCCTTTGTGATCCCAGTCACCACCTGGTTCCGACAGCAGCCCAAATAATTTTATGCTGCTGGTTTTCAGGGGCTTGTGAAACAATGGGGCAAGTGCCTCAATGTAAAGGGAGATCATGTGGAGAAATAAAAGCATTTTTCAAATCAGTACTCTTTATCTGTTTAAGTTCTATATCCATTTGTAAGTTACTTATTGACTTACCTACATAGATGGTTCAGTAAGTCAGTGTTAGAGTAAATGTTGGCTGTCTTAAGAAAAACTTTAGGTTCACAAATACTTCTTTCTTAATATTTATAAATATTTTCAGGATAAACAATTCCAGAATAATGTGTATATTTTATTTCGGTCTGAGAGTCATTAGGACCTAACACATCACTTAGCAAACATTTATACTGTAAGATTATTTGGTGCACATACTGATGCATGATCTTCTTTTATGATCTGCTTTTAGGTCGGCTGCCACATTTCCTAGTCAGTCAACTGTGATGATATCAAAGAGTGCGTTATGGATCTGCTTGCTGTATTTCCAATACATATCTTTTAGAACTCACTGTATATACATAGAACACAAACTTGCAATCTTCCTCACACTAACAGCATACAAGACACCAACTTCTATATCACAGAGTGGAATTCTGTTTATAAGATGCTGATCTTCCGTAGTCCGATAAATGTTGTCTTACATGTTCAAGTATCAGAATAAAATCATAAAGAATGTCAATTCTGGATTGAGCTTGCCATGAACTGATTTGAGGTTCCAGTTACAGAAGTTACTAGATTTAGTATCTATAAACTGTGTACAGCTATGGTTTTGTAAGGAAGTACTTTGAATAATTCTGTTCTTGCAAGATAGTACAAAATTTGATATTTTTATATGAATATTATGCTACAAAGTATCAGAGAAAATTAAGAATAAAGTTTCCAGGGGTTCCAGTTCCTTACAGAAACACAATTCAGAATCTGTCAATGAAGCAGGAATAACTGACACGTTAACAGACATGAAATCATAACAGCGATAGTTCACAAAAGAAAAGCTGGATATAGAAGCTTGGATTAAATGTTCACCTTGTGAGCCTGTTAAGTGCCTTGCAAAAGAAATGAAAATATCAACAGTGATCAAGAGAACGTCAACAAGATCACTGAAAATACTACTTAAAAAAAATACAATTCACTCTTTGCAGCCAAATGAACCAGTATTTTCTATAATTGGTGTCTTCAATCAATGTATGGTAAAAATAATCCTGATTTGACACGAAGCTTCATTTTCTTTGGACATGTGGACACAAAACAATGAATGAACGTTTGATACCCATAAGTCCAATCCAAGATGTGGCAGCTGGGATTTTGTGTCACCAGAGTGTGAAGAGTACTGTTTTATTTAGATAGCATTAATTCTGAGAGCTATGTAATATAGATACTGGTGGGAGACTGGTAACTTTTGACCTATGGAGTTATCATGGTTTTTGGGCTTTTTGTGCTTCTATCCACATAGGCAGGATTGCAGAATCTATTTCTGGTGTAGACCACCCACAGGGTGATCATGAAAATAGCCAGTAAAGGGGACGTGGTGAAAGTTGCAATCTTCAGGCAAAAAAATGTGTATATAAATCCATACAAACAACCCTCTGAATGAGAGTTTGAATGAATCTGAAGACTGGTAGGTCACCCCTAGATCTGGGAAATGTTCGTCATATAAATACTTCCAATATCATTTATGGACCAAAAATACTAATTTTATTACACTGTAATACCTAAACAAGATATATGTATCCATGATAGGTAGACTGGCATAAATAACCATGTTCTTGAAGCAGCCCAAAACCAACTAATGCTACTACAAACAAAAACACTTGAATTTACACTTCACAGATGTGCTGCTCTTTAAATTTTTTTTTGTTTTAATTCGCTTAGTGGGGGGTGGAGTCCAACTAGGTCCACTCGGCACAGTGGCCACTGATTAGCCTACTGCAGCCTGCCCCGGGTGATTATGATGCTGGAGAATTTAGTGGAATGAAGATTGGCAGGCGAAACAGAAGTACTCAGAGAAAACCTGCCCCAGCACCACTTTGTCCACCACAAATCCCACTTGACCAGACCCAAGATCGAACACGGGTCGCCACGGTGGGAAGCCAGACACTAACCGCTTCAGCTATGGTGCAGCCTTGCTGCTCTTTATGTTCCAATGGTAAATTCAAACACAATAATGCAGCATAAACTGAAGGTGCACGAGGAGGAAGAGGAAGGAAAAATAAATATTTTTTTATGTCACTCTGTATTTTTATTTTTCAAGAAATCATTACCCTCTAAAGGTTTTAAAAGTTTACTTGTACCTAATTTGTTTAGCATGAAGATCTCCACAAGTGAGATCTGGTATTCATAATGATAACTACCCAAGACACAAAGATTACTGGATCTTGCAAAAGCACAGAATTTAGCTTAGTTTTTAAGCTATTGCTGCAAAGTAGAAAAAGAGGGGAAAGTTGATCAACAGCCTAAGTTATTTTAGATGCAACAGAGGGTGTATATAAATTATCTTTACAATTATACTTGTGAATAGAAACGAGGAAAAAACACAGATACACTGTTTGCGCATCATCTGCAACAGAAACTCTCTGATTTTGTTTTCAGTGTTACATACATTCAACATGGGCACCATTTGAGACATGTACAATGTCAAAGTGATATTCAAGCTCCAGCCATGTACCCTACAGCATGTCAGCATCAAGTGTTGCAACAGCAGTTTGAATTCTGTTCCACTGCAAGAATGAGCTCAGTTGTCATGAACCTGCAGAAGGCACAGTGCATGGAGTGGTTTATCAAGACAAAGTCAGATACACAGTATTATATTTAAGCATCCTGTTACATTCCACACTTCTATATATATAATATAAATTCTGTCGTAAATGTAACACTTTATTGTAGTTCCTGTCCCCCTTCTTTCACACTACATGCTTTGGCTGCAGCCAGCCATCATCAGGTGTATTTCACTTCATGTAGCTGTCACACTGCACTCAATATTAACATTTAAACTCCAGATATCAAATGTCCATTTCTCTGTTGTAAATTGACACCCGATATTCCAATGAACATTTGAAATCTGGAGTTTAAATGTTAATATTGAGTGCAGTGTGACAGCTACGTGAAGTGAAATACACCTGATGATGGCCAGTTGCGGCCATAATATATAGTGTGAAAGAAGTGGGACAAGAACTACAATAAAGTGTTACATTTATGACGGAGTTTATATTATATATATATCAGATACACAGGTCCAAAGACATTTCAGAACAATGCATCACAAAATGTCTATCAAGACCATCAATACCTGCTTGGTACAAACAGTGTAAGGAGAGTGGAAGTGTTTTGCATAAGAAAGGTGCAGAGTGTCCAGTGGTGTCTGATGAAAATTTTGAAAGATACAGAAAGTATGCTGCCCATGTAAATCGATTAGAGCTGAGGCACGTGAGATGCAAATGGCACATCAACAGTGCATTGGGTTTTATGAGAATGTTTGCGTCCATGTGCTACAAGTTGCAAGTGGTACAGGCAATTATGTCAGATAATAGAATAGCCCATAATCAATTTGCATCACAGACATTGGACAAAGATACATTCTCTGACGAGGCCACATTCCAAGTCTCATGGCAGGTAAACAAGCAAAACATGCATCTGGGAAGCAGAACACTCTCACACTAGCATGAAGCACATTACAGACAGCCCAAAGTTAACGTGTAGTATGGCCTGTTAAACAATAATTTGATTTGACCTCTTTTCTTTGCCAAAGCAACCAAACATTGAGAAATTACCTGGATATGCTAGAAAAATTTGCCTATCCAGTCACAGGAACTGCGGCTTGGTGTGTTCTTCCAGCAAGATTGTGCACCACCACACTGCCACACTGTACCTTGATTGTACATGTATCTCTTAATCAGCATTTCCCAAATCAATGGATTGGTCAAGCTGGCACCATCTCTTGGTCAGCATATCATACATACCTTATGATTTTTTTCCTGTGGGGATACATAAAGGGCTGTGTTTACAAGGCTCTGGTGGCCAGCTTAAACGATCTGAAGAACAGAATTCAGGGTGCTGTTTCAACAGCTGATGGTGACACAATGCAGTGTACAAAGATGGAGTTTCTGACACCAAATTGTCATGTGTTTCCTATGTGACGTGACAAATAACTTCATGCTGTTTTGGATCTAGCGAATTTATTGCACACTCACTCTTACACTTACACAGTTCACAATTTCATTGTCCCAATTACTTCTATTGCTGTAATCACTTCCAGGCTACAAATGTATTTGGTGACTGTCAGCCTTCAACTCACTGCGGTGGCTGCTACATTTTAACTACTCGTAATTCGTAAATGCCTCAATACTGAATCAACACTGATGAGTACTCTCATTATGTAGTTTCCGCCCTGACCACATAGAAAACGTGTTTACTGATTGCCTAGCAACAGTCTCTGCACGGACTCCCCTGTTGCACGATGTCACAGCCTAGCGGGGAGGGGTGTTTACCGAGCATTGTGTAATTATGGGATGAGTGGGGTATGTGACGTCACTCACACTTCCTGTTGCGCAATCCAAGCATTCACAGAGTTGTCGCCTAGCAATACACCAATACAATCCACAACTCTCACGTTGCGCGCATGCCCCGAGGCCTCTGTGGGTCAACAGTTCCTGCATAGAGCCAATACGCCACAATAGGTTCGATGTTGCATGATGACATTTTTTTGCTCAGGTCGTTTATCCACAGAATCCGTCCAAGTCCAAGGCTTCTTGAAAAATTTTGTAACAAGCTTATTTTTTACAGTGAGGAGTTGTTATATAACAAAATAAAAGTTGTCTGATTTTTAAGAGTGTTATGAATTTTTTAAAAATAGGCCTTCTCAGTGATCTACTAATGAAATATCAAACAAGACCCTGACTGGTACCTCAGTACAATGGACTTGACTCATGAACACATTTAGCTAATTTAATACATGTAAATATATGCTAATGATGTATATACATAGAGCTCATTCTTGATTTCTTGAAGTGTCTGTAATTTTAGTTATATTTGTAAACATAAGATGGGCTTGGAATCCAGATATCAATGTGGTTTTCATTCTTAGACACATTTCTAGTAAAAAAAAGAAGACTCCTCTTAGTGGGTGGTGGAGTCCAGCTGGGTCCACTCAGCATGGTGGCCACTGATTGGTCTATTGTACCTGCCCCAGGTGATTATGATGATGGAGAACTTGGTGGAATGAAGATTGGCAGGGGAAACTGAAGTACTCAGAAAAAACCCATCCCAGCACCACTTTGTCTACCACAAATCCCACTTGACCAGACCCAGGATCGAATCTGGGCCGCCACAGTGGGAAGCCAGCGACTAACTGCTTGAGTTATGGCATGGCCACCCATGTATGAACCTCAGATCTCACTTTTCCTACATGCCCTTGTGAACAGCTGGCTCAAGCACTGCCATTCTTCACTGAATCAATCAGATGGCAGACATCTTGAACTCTCACACAGCAGCTTGCATATGTGAGTATGTTATCATGTGAATAAATCATGGCATATCTGTACGGCATTAAGAATTCTCTATGTACACAACATATAATCAATGCCAGGGTAAGTTTGGAAATCAGGTTTCTGTAGACTTATATCTGTAAAAGTAGGGATTTTTATTATTCACATATATGGATTAAGAATGAATGAGAATTTTTAAGATTTTTGCTATCAGTTTAATTATGATCACAATTCTTTTTAATATTGTCACATTTTAGTGACCAGGATTGGGGTTTGGATTTAATGAACACTTAAGAATTATAACTACATAAGACTCTTACTAATTCATGTACACTGCTTCTCACTAAAGCACACTCTTTAAGTCTTCTCTGTTGGCTATGTCTTTTCAGTTGTTGCTCAGTTACAGCTCCCAGCAATCAATATTCTCCTCTCGTGTTTATGTTACAGGCTGGCTACCTTCTCACAGCCAGTCCTAAACTTGCCACTCACTGGTTGTGAATAACTACGGCTTGGCTGGAGGGCCTCATTATATAACATCGGCACAGACCACATAGAAAACATTCTTCAAAAAGTTCTATTGTTTCATGTGTATCATTGCTGTGATACTGCTTATTTAGCTGTTACCATGCACCTGACAACATAAATATGTTACAGTACTAATCAGCAGTGAGCAAGTAACTAAACCCATCTGTGTATGAATTGTACCCCCTAAATCAACAGACTAAATAGTCAGCATGCTCTGACCATAACCTAAGGGCTCTTTAACACATTGCGGACCGGACGGGCCATATGGCCCTCTACGTTTCCAAGCGTTGCGGACCGGGTGGGCCATATGGCCCTCTACGGTCACGTTATGTTGCAAAACGCTATATATCGCTGTGTGGCTTCTTTGAATCGTAACTACTGCATAGATGACCTCGGGAATGATTGCTGCCTTATCTAGTAACTCGACCAGAGTCATTTCCTGTCACAACCTAAACAAAATTGGCTTTGTTCTAATCCAAGCTTGCACGTATCAACCATGCAGCTACCAGTTCAACATGGCTCAGAGACGAAAGCAGTTGCGATCTCTCGGAGGACAGGAAATATTAGATATGTTCTCCGATGAGCTATCAGATTTGCCAACTGCTTCGTCTTCTGATAGCGAGGCCATTATCAGTGACAGTGACAGTGACGGGGGCCACAGGGCTGCCCAAAATGTGTCAAGTGAAAGTGAGAGCTCCGTTGAAAGTGCGAGTGTCGGGACAGCTACATGGGATAAAGTGGACAAAACCACCACTTTGGGAAAGTTTACTGGTGATCCGGGGGTGAAGCAGATGCCATCGGACCCAACGGACGTGTCTGAAGTTGCGTCACTGTTTTTTGGAGATAGTTTCTTTGACGGAAGGGGGACATTCTTCTTCAGTCCTGGAGGGATACTCGCGTTGTGAATATGGTTTCCACTATTCACAATTCGAGCATGGTCGATGTTCAAAGACGACACGGGCAAGTAAAGAAGCCTCTTTGTATTTCCGAGTATAATATGTTCATGAAAGGAGTTGATAGGGCCGACCAGTTCTTGGCCTATTATTCCCTTCCTAGGAAAACAGTAAAATGGACGAAGAAAGTTGCACTGTGGCTTATAAACTGTGCAATTTTCAATTCATTTACGGTTTTCAAAAAGGTGAACAGAAATTCTTCTTTGAAATACAAAGCATTTCTGTTGAAACTGGCAAAAGGTTGGGCTACTGATGTCAGGGTGGCGGCAGTACCTGCGTCAGACACAGATGTAGTGCGGCATGGGGCCATCTGTTCGCACCCGCCAGAGGCCTCAAGTAGACCCCCCTGGCCGACTCTCGGGTGATATGCGGAAACATATTCTCTTGAAAATTGTGAAGAGTGAATATTGCAAGAAGAAATACATTTCTAGGCAGTGCCATGTGCGCGCAGAGCACAAGAAGAGTAGAACTGTCTACATGTGCAACTTCTGCGTAATGCCTCTTCACAAAGGGGAATGTTTCCAGAGATATCACACATGCAAGCACTTCTAGGAGCTCTGGTAAGTGTTCTCCAAAAATTTCAGTTCATAAAATTAATTAGGAGAATTTATATTAATTTTTAAAGTGAACAGTGCACAAGTTAGGGTAGTAGGTTTAAAAACGTCGGTCCCCAGGGTGATTTAAATGTTTAAACCACCGGTCCGCAATGTGTTAAGACATGTGGGTAAAGGGGACTTTGGTTCAGTGTATCAACAAGATATTCATATTATTTTATTTTATGCAAATTAAAAAAAGAACATTATTGTACTTTACTTGATTATACTTACAACTGAAGACTACAGCTTTAAATTAAGAGGAACTTGCAGCTATGTTCCCTGGTTCAAATTTGTATAAATTGCAGATTCTTTAGACAGAAAAGTCCACCTGTAAAAAAAATATTTTCATACACATTATAGACACAATTAAAGGGTTGTTCATGTGGTGTAGTGATTAGACCGGATGTATTTCAGGGAATACTTAGTTATAATCTTGGCTTGGAAACTGGCTATCCTACATGAGATGCTCATAATTTTCTTAGTTTTAAAGACAGTAACTTTTACAGTCACCATGAGAACCTCAAATCTCTTAAGTATTCTTTGCAAAACACATCCTTCTTACTTCCTCATCTCAACATTTCCTGTCATATTCAATTCTGCCATCATTTACTATAATTTCTGTTTTCACTTTCTGATTTTCAACTATTGCTCAAGTCTCTGCTGGTCTGAAATTCTCAATTTCCTCATTCACGTTTATTACTCTGAATACTCTGTACTTAACAGTGTTATGACAGCTGCTGTACAATAATGTAAAATCTGCACCATCACCTAGTCCCCTAGTTCTGAACAGTACAGGGTCACACAATATCGTGTCATTCCATTTAGAGTTCTGTAATCATCAATATCTGACACTACAGCTAAATTTATTTTTTTACTTACCACATTATAATGAATGGAATAATATGTAACATAGCTGCAAACTGAAAAATGAATCCATGCTGATACTCTCTCATAATTGGATATAGACTATTAAATACAAGAGAACCAAGAAGGGTACATATATTCTCCACTGTTGCAACAAATGCATACATTTTACCTGTAACAAAAGTATTTTCATTTATTAGTACTTTTCTTCTGCTTGTTTCATTAGTATAAATGAATAATAATGGGTGAAATATGTAATATGAACACGAAAGATGATCAATCCATATAACGTTTTGGCACAAAAACCTGTGGGAAAGAGACCTCTTGAAAGATGTAGACTTAATTCATCTGGCTCAGGATATTGACCAGTGGCAGGCTCTTAGAAACTAGGTAGTAAACCTTCAGGTTTCATAAAATGTTGGAAGTTTGTGAGTAACTATTAAGTTTCAGGAAGGGCTCTACTCCATGGAGTTAGTACCTTAGAAAATAAATATTTTAATATTGTGATGGATTTGCTCAAGGCATTAAGCAGATGCTACCAGAAAAAACCTGTTGCTAGGTAAACACATTCCCAATGCAGTCAACAGTAGAATTTTGGTTGCTTAATAGTGAAAGTTTCAATAAGCATGTTTTCATGAGAATGGAATTTCCATGGATATTAGCTGGCCTATATAAGGAGCCATGGAGACTCTTCATTCATTCACTTGAGGACTTAGGCTTCAACATCATCGATGTGAGGCAACTGATGGCCAACTGAAGATCACCAAATGGACAAACCTACATGGAAACCCTCTTGTTATTCCTTGTTAGCTTAACAAGAAACGTAAAATCTCACGAGAAATTCAAGCTGAACAGCCTAACCATGTTATTATCAAGGTAGAATCATACAGAGCTCAAACCGGCCTCACACAGTGCTACAACTGCCAAAATGAGACAAGATTCGTTACCAAGCAATGACTAGTAAGCAGATGTTGAAGACTTTATTTTGTGTGTTATAGTTATAGTAATCTTCAGAGTGTTATAATTATTTGTAGTTATGACTTGTGAATGTCCAATAAATCTATTCATCTAATCCAGAACCCATTATTATAGTCACGCCAACAAGGAATACCAGGGGGTACCCAAAAGAAACCGAGCTTATTTTTTTAAACTTATTTATTCAAATTTTAAGCACAAACCTTCAATCCCCTTCAAAGTACTCTCCACTTACACTAATACACTTGTCTAGTCTTTTATTCCATTTTTCAAAACATTGTCTAAATTCATCTTTTGAGATGCTTGACAGCGCCTCCGCTGTTTTTTCCTTGCATGTCTCTTTTCATTTGAGGAAACAAAAAAAGTCACACGGGGCAAGGTCGGGTGAGGAACAGGGGTCATACCATTTTNAAACGGGAAAACCACTCAAACACTTGAGTTTTCCCCATAGCATCGTCCTTGTATGCCGTTTTTGACATTTCAAGAGTTTCTGTTCCACTTTTCCCGAGCAAAAAGCAGAATTTCACCGCCGCACGCTGTTCACGAAAATCAGCCATTGCAAAAACGACGATCACACAAAACAGTTGTCACTATAAACTCTGCCAAAACTAGTCCTTACCTTCTGAAGCAACGGTAGTCGGCTTATCGACTCAGGAATGTTAGCTCTATGCGCTCATAGTGGCAAAACGCTGTACTACAAAAGCTCTGCCCACAAAAAAATTAGTTCAGTTTCTTTTGGGTACCCCATCGTACGTGACAATATGCTCCATTATGTTTGAGACAGAACAGAAACTTACCTAATTCCCAAGTCTCAACTTGTTTCGACAGCAACGAGCGAAGAGAAGGTATACAAAAGGAACTCAACATAGACAAAAGTGGAACTGAAAACAGAAATTTTAATAATACTATACTGAAACTGAAAACAGTAGTATATTTTACTTATTTAAATCTTCACACTTAGCTTAATATAACATTTGGTGATGCATTCACTGTCCAAAAAAATAATCAAAGTGGCAATACTTTACAGACATTGTGACATACCAATTGCAAGCTGGTATGCAATTCCCTTTTTTGAACCCAATTTCAGTAAAACTATTATTCATATTCACTTGCAGGAAACAAAAATTACAGTAAAATCCATCTACATTCCCCAACGGCTCTACATTTATTAATTATCCCATCATTTGGCACTCTCAGCATCATAAATAACCAACTAAAAAAATATGGTATGTCATACCTTGCACAGACAACCTTACAGAAGAAAATCCCTTTGTGATGATGTCTGCATTTCCCACTGATGTATGACTACAAAAAGTTGAAAATGGAATCTAGTAATATTGTAATGATGATGTACCAGCCTATGTCACACTGACACGCCCTTGTTCCAATAGCAGATGCAACACATGAAACCTATTTACAAAAAGAGGTTACTTACCAGAAAACATCATTGTACTTGTTGTGCTAAATCCCAGTAGCACAAAGCCAGCTGCTTTGGAAATAATGCCAACAAGGCAGATTGCATGATCAGGTACTTTAAAATATTGTAATACAGGAGATCCTAAGATTAATGTGAGAGATCCCAAAGCATATTTCAAACCAAAATAGTAACTGAAGGTTTGGTAATTCCATTTCAAAGGTTTATCTTTAGTGTAGAGGTATGTGATGTCCAATTCACCTGCATGTTCATACAAAAAAAAAAAAAAACCCATTAGTAATGCCACTTCAGAGAGAAACAAAAATGTAAATCATATTCATGCTAATGATGAAATCACGGTTATTCATAGAAATTTATTTTCCATCCATAAAATCAAACAGCAATTTTGAACAAAAATAAACTACATAAAGAGGTTCATCACAATACATATTTGTTATTGACAACTATAAATGTGAACAAATATTTATATAATCTCTCTGTAACAGAGCTATCTATGTAACACAGGAAACCCTGGTCAGAGGGGATTTTGCATGCCTCAATGGACTTGATGCAACACTAATTCTGACACTGCTAATCAACAATACAGACATTACAATACATGGAATCATGAAATCTTGTAATGTACTAATGTACATCCTTGTAATGTACTAAATACATCAATTGCAACAGCATCAAATGGTAGGATGATAAGTGAATGTTACCCTGGAAAAGACACAGAAGGAGGCATGACCTAATCCAGGTACTAGAAAGTGAGTTATTAATATTTACTATACAGAACACACATTTAAAATAACAAACTGATACACTGAAACAATTTTCCTGTTAAGTATTAAAATTTCTGTAGACAAGGTGAAAAAGCAGATTTATAGTTTGGGTCAGCACAATGCCATGTTCTAGGGGAGTTTTTGAGCTGAAATACTTGTTTCTGATTAGTTCTGGTTTGATTTTATGAGGTTAAATTAAGTCGACTTGTGCACTTGTACGAACAAAATTAAGCTAATTTAAGATCCTCTAGCCTAAACTAGGGCAGAAAATTGAATCAGGAGTCAAAAAATACCCATGAACATAGAGTGATGTAGAACTTGTATTGTACACTGATCTTTAACAGAGAGATAATGTTTCAAGTCTTATTTGCATACCTGTGACAATGGTCATGATGATCAGACAGCATGCTAAGAAACACATCAAGTATGCTCTCTTGTAACCATCCCTGGGCCTGAAGCATGTTGTTAATGATTCTCTAACATGAAAAAGACTGCAATATGGGCTGTCTGTTTCAGTCCCCACAATGTCATGTACAAACAACAACACATATGCTATTATAATCGCATAAATCATGGAAATGCAGCCAAATACAACTGCATGACTTGAAACTGAAAGCAACCCGCCACCTGCAAATGGGCCAAACGTCCCTCCAATAAACGACATGGCTTCTAGAAGAGCCACTCGAGCAGTTCGGCTACCTTGAGAAGATATACTTGATACATAGCTGGTGACTGCCATGATGCAACTTACAAATCCTCCAAATATGCCTGATATACCACCTGCAATTATAATTGGCCATACTGGGCCACTTAAATTGTACAGTGACATCCATATAAACACAGATGTGCTAAGAAGACCTCCTATTGATGGCAACACTAGTGGAAGCTTCCTTCCAAAACGATCTCCCCACGAACCCAAGAAGTTTGCTGATATTATTGAAGGCAAAGCTAACGACACAGTTGAGCTTAATATCCACATTGATGCACCATTCTGCACTGTATCAAGACAAGCAGAGTATCTAGAATCATGCAGATTTTCACACACTGTGACATTGAATGTTGTTCTGCATACTTTCTCATAAACCAAGTCTTGAAAAATTCCATACTGCATATAAATAGCAAACATGTAAAACAACAGTACTGGTTCAACAGTAATATTCTTAACCCAGTTACAGCATGCCATTTCCAGCCTTCTAGTTATAAGCACTGAAAGTCTAATTATGGTGTGCTCCTGAACACTTTCACTATGATTGCTTCAATAACACATGCAATTCTTGCAATATAAAATTAGACTGTACAAACTAAAAATTAACATTGCGTCACACTTTATATTCTCCGCGTCCTTGACATATAATGTTCAGGTAACAATTATTGGTAAATATTTCAAAGTCGATTACTTCGTATGACGATTTATGTTCTCTTCCCGCAGTCTACACTTCAGAATGAAACCTTGTTCATTACCAGCACACATCCGGATCAAACTTCAAATGATAAAACTCTTGTCACATTTTCATGTACCCATCAACTACACAGTTTTGATGTTTACTTTGTACCGCAGATCACTTGCAGTTTTCACCAAAATATCCGACACAATATATATATTTGTTCATTTTTAGCAAAGGACACTAGCGGTCAATGACACGGTTTATCAATGTGTCACTGCTATATTTACACTTAAACAATACAATGTGTACAAGTTAGTTCCAAATACAAATATACAAAGTTTTCATTTGCATGCGTTAATTGAGCAAATTCCACAACAAACTATAATGCATACCTCGCGCCCGGCAAAAAATATGAAGTGTCCACGGATCACTAAATGAACAGATGGTAGCCAGGCAACATGCTTACCACCATCATGATTCAGCTAAGTAGATGCTTACAAATTCTTGCACATGTTGGCTGTAAAAAAGAAAAAATATACGTATTTCTAACAGTGAAAAGAGTAAGTCGTGTCTAACAACTGCAAAACTATGCATAGTAACTGATCACCGAAATTAATGCCAAAAGACTTTAGCATGTTTAAGCGGGTTAATCCATTGAACCAATGTTGCCAACGTCGCCAACAATAAAAAGAATCAAGTTATCACAGTTGTAGCAGACTGAGAAGTTATTACGTGTTTGTTTTGGGGTTTTCTATTTATTGCACAGTCGGAACTGAAATAACAGTACCAAATTGATGAATCACTATCTTTTAAAGCAACACATGCAGCTAATGTTACAATGACGTCTGTTCTGAAAGACAGAACATTCAGTTGTAGGTTAGTACTGCATGTGAAATAATTATTGTCATTTGTGTAATAATTTTTTTTTTTTTTGTTTATGTAGTAACACGCCTCCTCTAGCTGTAAAAGCTCTGTAACTGATTTTTCGGTATTCTTTTTTACTGTTCTCAGACAAAATATCCATTACTGTTGCACTTTGATTCTTGTACAGTTTACAATCCCTGAAGATGTGTTCCTTTGTTTGAAGCCAATCACATTTGCGTTCACCTGTGGATACAATGTTAAATTTACTTAAGCTTGCTTTAAGACTGGAGTGTCCTGCTCTCATGCGGTTTATTGACACAAAGGCACGGCGGTTCATTTTTATTTCATGGAACTACAGGGACGCGCTATTCCTATAGTACTTTTCAATGTAACTTTCACCTCTGCCCCTTTTGGTGTTTTGACAGTAACCGTGAAGCCCCTCTCTGCCTTACTTTTTCCACTTGGCTTTAAAATCTGCCACTGGTAATAGTATTTGACTGTCTATGCAATCTTTGTTGGATTACTTTGCCTCTGAGTCAGCTCTCTCATTAATTTCAGCTCTGCAGTGCCCTGGAATCAGAGAATTTGGATCTTTATCTCATGATTCCAGTCTTTCTATTTTGTCTTTAAGCATTAGAGTAATGTGTGATGTGTCAAAGTGTAGGATTAATAAGGGTTGATCAAAGGGGAAGCACAGTAGATCATTGAAGGCCATGGTGCAAGGGCCTGATTATTATGGCCCAACCCTCATTCATTCAATGTGTGATGTGCTGTTCTTTGTAGAAGTATTACTAATTCCTTTTAGCACACTTTGAGTCCCAGAAAAGCACACAGTTTTGCTCAAGGTCTATTTTTCTGACGATATCTGGTTTTTCATTAGTTGCTAGTACTTCTGCCATGAATGTGGATGCCATCTTAGCTATCCTGAACTTCCAGCTTATAACTATTAATACAGATCTTACATATGGTTTGTTCTGCATTTTTGAGCCATCTTTGGCAAAACATTGCTGGTTCTCATTTTTTCATGGAAATTTTGATTTTTTTAACCATAAGAAAGGTTATAGGATTTGAGCTTTACACAGCTCTACTTGCACCATGCTTCATGCTGGCTTCTTGCTTGGCTTGTTCTTTGGGCCTGAAGATGGAGGTGATAAAAGGGCGGTTCTTCCTTAGGGGCCGATGGGGCTCAGCACCCCTCAAATTTCACTACAATTTCATAACTTCATGTTATCAAATGATTTCCTTTTGTAATATTTTAATTTGTACTTTAGATGTACCTGGTAATGATTTTGTGGGGAATTGGACAAGTCTGAATGAAGCATGGGGCTGGGATCTCCAAGCCCAGTTGGAGTCACTTTATAGGAATCAACCTGCTGCGGTAGAACTGTTACAGTGTGGTAAAATGTAGAGGGGATGTCACGCATAAAACATTAACCATTGGGCTTGGGCTGGCTAGCCCCTTAGACATGGAACATGTTACAAGATGTGTGAACTGCACTGTATCAGTCAGGCTAGAGTTCAGATAGCTGCACGGGGAACTCCTCTAGAGTCATTAACTTCTCAAAGCAACGGAACTTTTATGACATGCACCACTCTCTGAAAGACTATTGGCCGAGATGGGGGTGAGAAGCATTTCAGAACTGAATGGTCAGTCTTACCATTTTTCCGTCATGAAAAAAAGAAAATGGTTGTTTATTTACAATAAGTTTATCAAAGTGAATTCGTATTAGGCCTGTTAGCCAAAGTCTGTAATAATTTATTTTATATCTTATTGGGTTTGATATGCAAGATTAATCAAATTTCGATTTCCACGAATTAAATATAGTGACTAGCCCCACCAAATAAGAAAGCTACGAGCCACCACTGGGGTGATATGTTCCTTCAAAACACTGGCTGTCTTTCAGCAGACTGCACCGCATTGTATTCCAGAAGATACATCTCTTCTTAGGAAAGCATTGTTGTACTTTTCCTGACTACACTTACAACTGACCACTACAGCTTTAAATTAGGCGGAATGTGTAATTGCCTTCTCTGTTTCAAATCTGTGTAAGTTGCAGATTCTTTGCACAGAAAAGTCAACCTAGAACAAAAAATTCATTCTATGCGCATTACAGACTCAGTTAGAGTTGTTCGTCAGTCAGTGTTCAGTTTCAGTAGCACCAAAACAATAAGCTCAATATCAAATTACAGCCATTTATGATTGTACTTTGTTTAGTGTTAAAATACACTGCTACAAAACAAACCCTTAAAGGGGGGGGGGGGTTTGCTGTATTATAAAGCTATAAAATTGACTAACTGCTGACATGCCGCATCCTTTAGGGTAAGCTCGGTCCTCAACAGGGATGTGAAACAGTTTGGAAAGAAACATCTCTTTGATGGTGATGAAGAAACCTGCTGGAATTCTGATCAGGTAACTTATCTGTTATTCTTTACTTAAATGGAAGGCAGAAAGTGTACAGTATTTTCTTCATGTATTGGAGGAAATGACTGACAGAAGAGAGTTTAAGATTTGAAAGACCCCATGTTAGCCTGCTTATGTCACCATAACAGATTACACAGAAATATATGATTATGGTGAATGTTGATATTACAAGGTTAGTAAAATTGAATTTTACTTTAAATGGCCATTGACACATCATCAGAAATGAATAATGTCTTTTAAAAACGAGTTTTAATGAATATTAGTAGCTTTCAGTGTTTTGTGAATTAAAATTGTTTTTAATAAATAGTGGTTACCTATGAAGTTGTGTTGGTGGTCAGTCAAAGTAAAATATAATTTTATAAAGTCTGCAATTACTAAACACAACAGCATGAAGAATTTAAAAAATGTTAATATACCAGCATGTTCATATTTTTCCACTCATTTGCTTTATAAATTTGTAGTATTTGAAATATTTAGTACAGAATTCCTTACATTTTGTTACAATATGTTGACAAATCTGCCAAGAAGAAGATATAACTCTTTAAGATGTCATTAGTAATATTCTGATAAGCTGTTCTTTGAAGAATGTGGTAAGTGAATTTGAGCTTAATGTGAAGTTTCGTTAATACTTAATTCCTTTCATTTAAACATCGTAATACAAAGAGTTATTGAGATCAAATTTGCAGACAGACCATCTCAATTCATTTCTTCATTTTGTTCTTATACTTATTCCATATAGTTATCATTATCAGTTTTTAACAGGGATCACCACAATGGATTGCACTTGATCTGCAGAAAGAAGAAACAGTAAATGCATTTCACATTCAATTTCAAGGTGGTTTTGTTGGCCAGAATTGCCATCTAGAAGCTGGACCTGAAGATGGATCATTGGAAGTAGTTGATCATTTTTATCCTGATGATATTAATTCTTTGCAAGTATTCAAATTAAGGGAACCTGTTTCTGCTAAAAAGCTGCGGTTTGTTTTTAATGGAAGCACAGACTTCTTTGGTAGAATAGTAATCTATAAGTTAGAAATCCTAAGTCCAACATGATAATGAAATAAAAATGTGTATATTATATTTCCAACATTTTAATACCAGGAAAAATTAAACAACATGCCTTAACACATAGGTATTGCAGGAAATAAAAGTGTGTATGGTTATCGGTGAGGTAAGTTCAGCTATTGTGATTTTTGTTAAGTTGTGTTTCAAATTGAAATATGTTGGCACAAAATACGATGGGGTACCCAAAAGAAACCGAACTAATTTTTTTGTGGGCAGAGCTTTTGTAGTACCGCGTTTTGCCGCTATGAGCGCATAGAGCTAACATTCCTGAGTCGATAAGCCGACTACTGTTGCTTCAGAAGGTAAGGACTAGTTTTTGCAGAGTTTATAGTGACAACTGTTTTGTGTGATCATCGTTTTTGCAATGGCTGATTTTCGTGAACAGCGTGTGGCAGTGAAATTCTGCTTTTTGCTCGAGTAAAGTGGAACAGAAACTCTTGAAATGTTGAAATGTTAAAAACGGCGTACAAGGACGATGCTATGGGGAAAACTCAAGTGTTTGAGTGGTTTTCCCATTTCAAAAATGGTGAAATGTCAATTGATGAGAAACCTCGTTCTGGTCGTCCTTCCACGGCCCGAACACATGAAAATGTTTAAAGAATTCGTGAAATCATCAAGGAAGATCGATGACGGACCATTGAAGAAATTGTGGAGCTGTCGGGAGTGACTTGGAGCTCAGTTCAGCGAATTTTGACAGAAGATTTGGGAATGAAAAGGGTGGTTGCGAATTTCGTGCCACGACTGCTGACTGCTGAACAAAAACAAGGTCGCGTGGAAGCATGCTGTGCTTTGAAAGAAGAGTACCGAAATGATGAACACTTTTTTTTTTGTTTCCTCGAATGAAAAGAGACATGAAAGGAAAGCGTTTTGCTGATGTTGCTGAGGTGAAGGAAAAAACGACGGAGGCGCTGTCAAGCATCTCAAAAGATGAATTTAGACAATGTTTTGAAAAATGGAATAATAGACTAGACAAGTGTGTTAGTGTAAGTGGAGAGTACTTTGAAGGGGATTGAAGGTTTGTGCTTAAAATTTGAATAAATAAGTTTAAAAAAAATAAGTTCGGTTTCTTTTGGGTACCCCCTCGTATTCGCAGAATTTTTTTATAAAACTGCATACAAATGGTTAGTTAACATTAATTGAAAATCCCTTCTTAAAACATGACATGGTGTTGGTTTAAAGTCACATCAGTATTTATGATTATTTGCACCTGGAGGACATTCAAATTGCAAGATTCATTATTTATCCCAATATAAAATGTAATACAGTTGTATATTTGGCAGGTTGTAGAGGAGACCGTGTAGTTGTGAATAACAGTGAAAAATTAAACACCGATGAATGGTGCATTAATGTGATATTGTGACAAGTTGTATAAGGGCCTGTGAGACTGGAAAATGACAACTTGAATAAAGTGACTCAATCAGATGTGTGAAATAGTATCCTTTATGTAGACCTGACACTCCTTATGTGGTTAAGGTTTGCCATAATGTTGAGACAAATTACAGCTATCATCACCAAAGATACTTACTTCACAGTGTGCTATGAGGATGGGAGATATGACATTCTTCATCATAAATGGACATTTCTACAGGATATGTAAAACAGTAAGAAATACATCACACTGTTTACAAACAGGTGCCAATTCGTCACACAACAGACGTCCATATTTTAGTGGAATGTGCTCAGGCTGAAGCTGTGTGAGCCTGACTTCCTCCTTACTGATGCAGTTGCATATATGGTTTCACTACTTGCAATTTATTGTTATGTGTATGTGTGTACTCATCTTGCCAATATGAGGCTATAATATAAAGAAGATAAGCACAAACAACATTTCCTTCAGCATGCTCAGATGTCATTTCTCCATGCAAAGCTTGGGAGCTTCGTTGCCAGGCTGGTCCAGATGGCAAGTGCCAAGAAATAGGGAATTGCTTTTCCTGCTTTACACAAGTGTGACACTTAGCAGAGGATCACAGTTACAGTCAGATGGTCTGGTGTGTATCATGAGGACTCTGCAAGCCATTGCAAAGGTGGATATCATGGATACTGGTGACAGATGAGATGTGGCATACAGTTAGGCTCTATACTTGTACATATATGCTGCTAAGACTGTAGAGGTAGTAGGAGAAAACCTGGTCTTCATATGCAAAGGCATACTGAGTTGAACCTGCAACAAATGATCCATCAGTGTATTCAGGATATGTAGAAGAGTTCCATAAAATACTGGTGGCAGGTAGCAGCTATTGTTTTGTCCATCATGTGTCAGGTCTCTCAAAGGTCACAAGTCTGATGCCGATATGCTAGGGCAGAATTAGAGAGTCGGAATTGGCTATTACTGGCTAGTCAGACAGAATGAATGTTAGTTTGTTCAAAATAATATTTTATGTTAAAAGTAAACAGTGACCAAGGATGTTCCTTCCAGAAAGGATGACCATCAAGCAAAAGATGAGATCAGCGCTGTACTAATTTTGAGTTCATGTTAAATGGGTGGCATGAGATGATAGAACCAAAGATTGTGGATGGATAGGGGATGGTCTTCCAGTTTGGGGGTTTGGGCATGGAGATAAGAAGGCTTTACCATAGTACACAGTGGTGTTAACAGATTATCACAAAGGGCCTTTGACATTAAAGGAAGGAAACAACAATGAGGAACTCAATTTGTGAACACCTGATATGTTAAATTGGGTGGGTGGGGGCTCATATCATGCGCAGTGTAAATAAACATACAGGGTGTTTCACGACTTTAGGGCATAACTGCGGGAGGTGATTTCCTACGTCTTTATGATCAAAAAAGTTCATATAAACATGTGTCCGATTTTGGACGGTTACGGAGTTATGACCGTTTTTTCATTCCCGTACACGCCCTCGTATGAACCAAGTCTGTCAGCTGTCGGGTCGCTATCTTTAGCCAGCTACAGACAGAGCGTTCTCGTTATGTCGACACTTGAGATGTACCTAAGGCGGGGAGGGTTGGTATGTCCGGCGCGGTTCACAACCGAGCGGCAGCCTGTGTTGCGGCCGGCGGTGGCATTTTCGAAAATCAGCTTTAAGCACCAATAAATTAAAATTAAAGGTAATTTCACGAAGTTAACTTCACACTCATACTTTAAATGAATCACGTATAATGTTGGTTTATTATTTTGTTCCGTTTATTGTCAGTAATCGTTACCTTCTATTCTGAGTTTAAAACTGTCATAACTCCATAACCGTCCAAAATCGGACACATGTTTATATAAACTTTTTTGATCACAAAGACCTAGGAAATCACCTCCTGCAGTTATGCCCTAAAGTCGTGAAACATCCTGTATATAGCAGGTATTGATCAGAAAGTCCAAACCACTTAGGAGACTTAGGAGTAGAAAATAGGCCAATATCAGGATGAATGAATGGGGCTTTATATCTGAACTGCATTCGAGAAATTAGCATTTTTTTCTTATTCTCTTCATTATTGACAATCAGATTGTACAATCTGTAAGTCAATGTGCTGATTGGTGTACAATTTCATAACTATTTATTGTACACTTCATGGCGTGTGCGGGATAAACATCCAGTGATGTTTTCCTCATTGAATTAATTTAACATGCCTCAAGAACAGGGTTGCAAGGACATTTGTAAGCATGGTGAAACATGTTTCGTTTCCATAACGGATTTATTCTTTCTGTCGTTATGATATCAACGTCTAGAACATTTTGAAGGCCATCTTTTAGTTCAGGGTATAGCAGGCATCCCTAACGCTGCCCACAACCATACCTAAAGCTCTAGGCACAACACATACTCATTCTTTAAACTTTTTACATAATCAAAATACAGCAATTTGTATGGTTGTTTTACTATTATAGAAATGCCGTATCTAAAGTCTCGTGCCTGTATTTTTAGTGGAATCTTATATTAGCTTCTATTGTCGAAATAATATAATTACCCCCTTCCCACTAGCAAAACAAATCAAGTACAACAGATCTTCCAGTAGGTGGCACTATTAAAAGTATTGCTTGCTCCTGCCATCTGTGACAAATATTGTAAGTACGAAGTGACAGGAATAATTGTATAAATAGACGTCTGCTTTTCGCAGAGGAATGAAAAATTCCTCGATTTGCCCTAATTCATTACACCCAAACTTCGAAACTTTCTAAATCCCTAATTTATGGGAGGCTCTTATAGTCTATCTCATTCTAGAGAAAAACATTTCTTATTAGAATTCCAATCAGAGTGAAATTGTTTAGACGGAAGTAAAGTGTAGGAAGCTTTCTTATAATAAATGTTTAGCAGTAACATCTGTTCTATTCCAGAACAACGTTTTAGTATTGCCTCACTAATTAAGCAGCTGTGTGTAGAGAGTAGGGATATAACTTATTCTACAGGTTACATCAAGAAAGCAATGCTATTCTCAAGAAGTGATGAAGGAATTCATGTCATTGGAGTTAGTAACAGTCTTGGCGGGCAACGTGTCAAAAGAATTTTTCAGAATTGTCGTACTTAAAATTCTGATCAGAAAAGATGACCTCATCAGTGGAAAGTTAAGTTCCCTGGTCTGTGTCATACCTCAGAATTTCCCGAACAAAATACAGGTAAATTGGGAGGTAAAAGTAAAGGTGTCCCTGTAAAAGGGCGTGGAGGCCCATAGGGTTGTGAGATGTGGAGGTTCGCACATTTGCTAGAAAATCGGCTCATAGATGGGGGCAAGATTGTCAGCCTTACGCTCCGGCCGCCCTTTACCCCCAAGAATATTCCTGGTACTTATTTCTGTTAGAGGCTGAGTCGACCCCTGGACCATAGTGCGGCTGGAAGGATTAGGTCAATTGAAAAAATCCAATGACCTCATCGGGACTTTAACCCGCGACCTTCCGGCTTGTAGCATAGTGCCTCAACCAACTTGGGAGGTAACTGAACAAAATTATATCGTAAATTTAAAGCGGCGTACTATTCCGGAGAAAATCTGTAATAATTACGGCCGGTATTATGACCTATATCGAAAGAAGTAAGTAAAAATAAAAGTAAAGCTATCACTGTAACGGGCCGTTAAGGCCCATAGGGTTGTGAGATGTTGAGGGTCCCACATTATCTAGACAGTCGGCTCAAAGATGGCGGTAAGGTTGTCAGCCTTACGCGCCGGCCGCGCTTTACTCCCCAGGAAAATTATTTAATTAATTCCTGCTACTCATGTCTGTTAGAGGCTGAGTGAACCCCAGGGGCATAGCGCAGCTGGAAGGGTTAGATTAATTGAAAAAAAAATCCAATGACCTCATCGGGACTTGAACCCGGCTTGTAGCATAGCCCCTCAACCAACTACGCTACCGCGTTCCCCTATCGGAAAAAGTATCTGAACCAAATATAGCTTGTTCGTTTCTTGTGTGATAAAAGTTAATCCTTCTTTAAAATAATTCACTTACTTTTCAGATTGTCATTATACGGATTTCACCATATTAAAAGCAATGTCGAATTCGTCTTTTTTACATGTCGCGTCAATAAGAAATGACATCACAAATATTTACTTGTCCTGCGGATTTTAAACGAACCTTACAATAAATAAATGCAAGTAGCCTGAGCCCTAAATTGTGTCGTATGTACCAATTAAGTGAGAATGTTATACAGTATATTTATACAGAATTATAGGCTGTCTTTGAAGTGGATAAATAGCTGATGTGCTGTATCATTGCATTGCCAGCGTTTCTCCATTATCTGACAAATGCAGAGCTTCAGTTTAGTCCTCTATCGGAAACTTTCTCTATATATGGAATTAACCTTGAAAGAAGTACGTTGGATAAGATTTACGAGAACTTGGAAAGAACAGAAAACACCGGGTGTCCTAAAAGTCGCTATACCGAGGCAGTGAAGTGTTTAAGTATGATTATTTCATTTGCGTTCGGATTTCTATATGCAACAGGTGGTAACACTGAGGCTACACTGGCGCTTGTTTCTATCGGCTGTTGCGTTATTCCCGTATTTACTTCATTTGCGTTTGGTTGTACACAAAGCATTTGGAACGTGAGTATAATCTCTTTCAGGCGACTTTTAGGACACTCTGTATTTCTGCGGCTAATAAATAACAAGTGAATTCTTCTGGTTTAAAGTTAAGAGATATCTAAGCAACTGATAGCGTATTTACCTATCGGTCATTGTCCCACTCTTCTCGCTATGTAATTTTATTATTCTATCTCCAAACTGACCCTGACAACAAGAATCCTTGCAAAGTCCAATGAACCAGTCCCAAGAAATTCTAGGCGGTAATACTAGTCATTTCTTCTTTTCATCTTCTGATGAATATCTTCAGATATTTGGGAACAACGATAACAGATCGAAACCTGATTCAGGAGAAAATTAAGAGGAGATTGAACTCGGGTAACGCTTGCTACCATTCAGTTCAGAACCTCTTGTCTTCTCGTCTGCTGTCCAAAACCATAAAGATTAGAATATACAAAACTATAATTTTGCCTGTAGTTCTGTATGGGTGTGAAACTTGGTCTCTGACATTAAGGGAGGAACATAGTCCGAGGGTGTTTGAGTACAGGGTGTTGAGGCGAATATTTGGACCGAAGAGGGATGACATGACAGGAGGTTGGAGAAAGCTGCATATTGAAGAGCTTCATAACTTGTACTCTTCAATTATAATTACATTGAGCAAGTCAAGGAGGATGAGGTGGGCAGGGCATGTAGCACGAATTAGGGAGAAGAGGAATGCGTATATGACATTGGTTGGAAAGCCAGAAGGAAAGAGACCGCTGGAACGACCAAGGCGTTGGTGGGTGGACAATATTAAAATGGATCTTAGAGAGATAGGATGGGATGGTATGTACTGGATTGTTCTCGGTCAGGATATGGACTAGTGTAGGGCTCTTGCGCTGGAACGACCAAGGCGTTGGTGGGTGGACAATATTAAAATGGATCTTAAAGAGATAGGATGGGATGGTATGTATTGGATTGTTCTCGGTCAGGATATGGACTAGTGTAGGGCTCTTGCGAACACGGTAATGAACCTTCGAGTTCCTTAAAATGTTCTTGAGTAGCTGCAGATTTGACGGCTTCTCAAAAAGGGCTCATCTCAATAAGTAAGTAAGTGACCCTGTTTTAACTGCAGATGTTATAGAGCTTTGAATAATATCAGAAGATTACAACGAATGGTGAGAATTTAAAGAGATGTGATGAGCAGTTAACATTCTACAAAGGGTTATAGAACTTGCTCCTGGAGAGGCTGACGGAAACCATGGCAATCGTTAGACAAGAGAGACGGCAACGCTTCCGAAATTCGAACGGAGTGCCTCTTGAACACAAATTTAGAGCGCTACAACTCATCATTTTTATGACAGAGGACGATAATCGTGAAATCTCTTCTCTTTTTGCTTCATTAATTCACGGCACTCAACTTCACCGCTGCGTGCAAGGAAAGGGAATTTACAGAAGAAGGAAGTGCTCATGCCATGAATACATACGGAGACCTGGAGTTAAGAAGTCGCGCATTTTGAACAAAGAAAACTGGACGGAAGTGAGTGCTCAGTGTCATGTTCCGGCAACTTTAAGATTTGCGAGTGTATTTTAATACTGGGCTTTACAAATCCTAGGTTTTATTTTACATGAGAATGAAAATAAATTTTATCGAGTTCCTCAAAAAAGAGCTCATCATACATGACATAAAATATTGTGGCTTATAGACCCCTTGCTAAGCTGTGACTCTGTAAACAACGACAGTTTCTGGTCAACGACTCCCTAAACATGTTTCCGCTGCAACGAATACGCACGCGGCAGCAGTTGCTATTGGAAACGGGGCGTTTCTACGTGGCCCGTGCTGAGATATTATAAACAAGGGACAAAGTCAGTTGTTAGGCAGTTCTGCACGGGAGGATGTGAAGATAGAACCTGAGAGCGTTAAGCTGAAGAATCTCCACTGTTATAAGCCGTTTCCTGGGGACGGCTGGTGAAGACACAGCTGGAAATGGCTTGGGGTATGCTGTGGAGTTTTGTGAATTGTGGAGATTAGCGGTGGGGCTGTAACCGCTTATATTTCAGAACGGTTTGTATAAGTGGATTATACTGAAATTACATTGTTGACTTCAGTAGCAAATTTTGTCAGAAATCGTTGTAAGTGGAAAGAAGTAACATAACACGTGGACAGGCTTAAAACCGATACACCGAAAACTTTATGTTCAGTTACTTTTTTCGTGCGTAGAAGGCAAAAGAGCGTTACGAATTTTCTGTCCAATTAAGAAAACTTCCAATGGAACCGAAACTGTGAATGCAAGACACTGCGTTATCTTTTCTACGTGTGGTCAAGAATTACAGAAAGAATTTTATTCTAGTTCATTATGGATCGGAGGGATTAATAGTTAAAAATACGATCAATACAAATAATTTAATATTTCGTCAAATACTCAAATGAGACACTTTCACAAATATCCAATAAATCCAGGAATAAAATATCTACAGATACGGCGGATTACGTCAAAGTCAGCTCTGGGTTATCATTCCGCGTCGATGCAATTATCTGCATTAAACTTGTTGAGGTTCTCAAATAAGTTCAACATGAACTGACACCGCTCTACATAAACCGACTTCTTTCGATACAAATTATTAAATATACTACTTTATTCATTGAAATTTGAATGACTAGTTCTTCAGTTACAAGATAAAGGTAAAGGTATCCCTGTAACAAGCTGTGGAAGCCCATAGGGTTGTGAGACGTCGAGGCTCCCACATTTTCTAGACAATCGGCTCACAGATGGCAGTGAGGTTGTCAGCCTTACGCGCCTGTCGCCCTTTACCCTCGGGAATATTCTTGGTACTCATTTCTCTTAGAGCCTGAGTCTACCCCAGGACCACAGTGCGGCTGGAAGGATTAGGTAAATTGAAAAAGAAAATCCACCTCACTGGGATTCGATCCTGCGACCTTTCGGTTTGTAGTATAGTGCCTGAACCAACTACGCTGTCCCTACATTTACTTAATAACACGCATAATTTACATAGATCTATATCAAGGTCTTCCAAATTACCCCTTTTCTTCAGAGTTTCCGACTAATCTTACACATCTTTCCTCCCATCTTTGTATATTGAATACCTCTACCATCTCACCCGACTTGATTTTCACAGTAAAAACACGTATTTGGCAAGAGGAAAAATTACAAAACCTTCATTATGTAATTTTTTCCAGTCCTCCCACTGCTGCCTTGCTCTCAGTTCAAAATACTCTTTTCAGCAGCATCCTCTCACATACACTCATCAACGTGAGAGACTATGTTCATACCCACACAACACAAGAAGCAAAACTATGATTTTGTATATTTTAATCATTAGGTCTGTGGTTTTATATAATAAACAAATGGAAAGTTGTTTTGAGCTGAATAGTTGCAAATATTTCCCAAATTCATGACGAATATGACTTGTTAATATCGTTCTCAAATATTTGAAGTTCGCCACGATCCAAAGATAACACGCAAATATTGCGTTGCCGTAAGTAGAAGTTAATGATCTGTAACTGCATGGCTTGCAGTTTCTCTTAATCGTTGGGAATAAAAGCTTAATCGTTCATTCTGTCACCCTCTTCACTAGTTCACAAATCCATTCATGTAAATATCTTATACTAAAGTCAATGTCCTCTTTTTGCAATTACAAAATACATTTTCCCTCTCGAAACCTGTCACGTTTATCTATAACGTCAATGGCCATGATCTGACGAAGCACAATATCTAGAATTTCACGCTTTCGAGAATGGACACAAGCTATCTTTCCACAATAGCTTCTGAGATCGTCAAACATGAAGATTAATGAGTGATAAATTTATGAAGGCTGTGACATTTGGAGTGTTTGGCATTTTAACTGACTTTGTAGTACAGTGACCGATATGTAAATATGAGTGGTCGTGTTCTTATCATGCAATTTCTTATCAGTGCACGAGTATCCGTACGTACGCACTGAAGCCCAGTAACCCACATCCCCTCCTCTCCTGCTCCCCTCCCCCCCTCAAGTGCCGATATAAGAATGAAAACAAAAACTTGAGCTTTGAGTAGTTGAACAGCGCCGGACTGCGTGTAGTTGTCTTCCTGCACTTCAAGACAGCAAAGCACTGCAAGTATGGACATTGTTACATTGCTTTCGATATTGTTTAGTGCAGCTTCTGTCCTTTTTGGAGCTCTTTATTTGTATTTAAATATGGCATTTTCATATTGGAAGAACAAGAATATTCCTTATTTGAAACCAACGTTTCCATTCGGAAATCTAAGAGATCTCTTGATGAGAGAGAAAAGTATGGGTGGAGCATATGCTGATATTTACGAGAAGTTGAACGGAATGGAATTCGGGGGAGTTTTCCTCGGTCACCGACCAGTATTCATCATCAAAGGTCCAGACATGATCAAAAACTGTCTTCTCAAAAACTTTGAAAATTTTCATGACCATGGATTTGTTTTTGATAAGAAAAGCGATCCTCTAACTGGTAATCTGTTCATGTTGGATGGGAATAAGTGGAAGAATCTTCGTTCAGTTTTGTCTCCCACGTTCACGTCCGGAAAAATAAAGAATATGTTCCCAATCCTGGTGGAGTGTGGACAAGGGCTGAAGGACTTCTTCGATGAGCGTGCGAAGAGTAAAAATGTTGTAGAAATGAAGGATATTGTTGCCAGATTCACAACGGACGTCATCGCTTCTTGTGCCTTCGGTATTCAGTGCAATTGTCTAAAAGACCCAAATGCCGAATTCAGACAATGGGGCCGAAGGATCGTAGAACCCTCTTTTATGGATAAAATTGTAGGGATGCTCTATCTGCTTGTGCCATCAATTCCAATCTTTCTTAAGCTGCCTCTAACACCGAGGAATGTATGTGATTTTTTTCGGAAGGTTGTCAAAGAAACTATCGAATTCCGGGCGAAGAACAAGGTGGAGAGATACGATTTTATGCAACTCCTGATTGACCTGATGGAACAGAAACCGCGTCATGAAGGTACGTGTATGCGCTTGCAATTCGATATGTTTACCTTTCTGTTCCTAATGCCTTTCACTTTGTGTAGCCCTGTGAATCGAGATCATGCAAATAGCGATCAGTCAGTCTGTCAGTCAGAAGCTGATATTCATGCATAACAGTGCTATCTGTATCGGACGCCATAGCTCAGGCTTTTATTAACATTTCCCACCGCTGCACTCAAGATTCAATCGCATTACAGGGCATGTGGGATTTATGGTGGACAAAATGGCATTGGGGCAGGTTCTCTCCGAATACTCCGGTTTCTTCTGCCGGTCAGAGACGCCAGATAGTCTAGATTTATTTTTTGTTAGTGGGTTGGGACTAAGTCCCTTGTATGGCAGCGCCATAGCTCAAGCGGTTAGTTGCTGGCTTCCCACCGCGGCGACCCGGGTTCGATCCCGGGGTCTGGTCAAGTGGGATTTGTGGTGGACAAAGTGGCGCTGGGGCAGGTTTCTCCGAGTACTTCGGTTCCCCTGTCAATCTTCATTCCACCAATTGCTCCACAATCACTCTCACCTATCATCTGGGGCTGGTACAATAGACCAGAAGTGGCCGCAGTACAAGGGACTTTGTCCCACCCCACTAGCAACAGATAAAGCAGTTGTCACCCGTCCTGTCCTGTTCTAGCCTGCTGCTCCCACACGGCCACACTATAGCTTATCATCGCGGGGCGCTTGATTCCTGTTCGCGTTACCACAACTTATTTCTTCAAATCTCATTAACTTGACACGCAGTTATGCATTAACCTGAGTTTAGTTTCGGAAGTGAAGAAAGACTGCGGTTTTCCTAATTATGTTTTTAGGAAATAGCAGAGTAGCTGAGCCACGACCATTTCTTTCTAATCGGTCATTCTATCATTCTGCTTTATATACTGCATATATTGACAGACCTGTAAAATAAATAAAAAAACGATGAATAACTGGAGCTATATCTCCAGTTCCCTACACTTCATTCCTGGCGATACCTTTATATTGCGGCGAACCTCAGTCTGGGGTTTTTATACCGCTGAGTTCCGAAAGGTGTTCTTACAAATTTTCTGTATATTTGTCAGCTGACAGATGAAGTTCTATATTAGCCATCTCTTCTATCACTTATCAGACCACTGACCTTACGCTCCTGACAGCTATATCGCTGTTATGTTGCACGGAAACATTATTTCGTAACTTTCTGTAACTGTTCCCATAAGAATCCAGTTAAGAATTCTATTTTAATAACAAGTCGTGCTCATGCCATTGTTGGTTAAGATAATTACACTGAAGCAGATTTTCTGTAGACATCTTTTATTTTCCCAGTATTCAAAACTTTACTCCAATCATAAATAATGAGAATGATCGAACCAAGGAGGATAAGCTGGGCAGGACATATAGCATACATGGGGATGGGAGGAATGCATGTAGGATCTTGTTGAGGATGCCAGAAGGAAAGAGACCACTAGGAAGAACTAGACATATATGGGAAGATAATATTAAAATGTAACTGCGCGAGATAGAATGGGGTGGTGTGGACTAGTTTCGACTGGCTCAGGAGAGGCACCAGTGAAGGCTCTTGATAACACGGTATTGGACATTCGGTTTCCATATAATGTTGGAAAAATCTTAAGTAGGTGAGCGACTTGTGACTTCCTAAGGACTCAGCTATATGCAGTTAGTTACTCAGTGCTAAAGAACTTGTAGTACAGATATTAAATTGTCAAAAACGTCATAATTAAAAAAGAAATATCGTTCTTAAAGTAGCTAGCTGCAGAACGGCGTGCCGGTAGTCTATCCTACAGGGATCTGGAAATCCCTTTCGTCACTACCAAGTTTCTTTACACTTACTCGGTAGCGACAGATTTTCCCTTGGGAGTAAAACTACTGGACTGTGAAGCAGACTCAAGGAAAGTATCTTTCTTCAGTGAAGGAACACTTTCCTCTAAGAACCTCAGAAGTTTTCTTCGCAAAATATTTCCAGATATTTTCGGACCTTCGTCAGGCGGATATAATGAGTAAAAAGGAAGTCGATTGCTTACGTAAATTTCATCGAATGGTTCTCAGTCCGAGACAGTAGCATTTGCTGGCGGATGTTCAGAAAATATAATAATTAGGAATATATTCTTTACCTAGAATGAGATTGTTTTTAGATATAGATGTTGGCCCCATATAAATTTTGTTATTTAAGCGATTTATTTAATGTTTCCATTGGGTTAAAGGCAAAGGTTGACGCGCAAATATTTCTCTGTACATATTCATGGTCCTCTCTTAAAAACTAAACAGAAAATTTCTTGTGTTTCAGAAAATGAACCGGGCTTGACGATGGACGAAGTAACTGCACAAGTGATAGTCTTCTTCACGGGAGGTTTCGAGACAACGTCAACTACAATGAGCTTTTGTTTGTACGAACTGGCAAAGAACAAGGACATCCAGGTTCGCCTGAGGTCTGAAATGGACGCAGTGTTGAGTCAACATTGTGGGAACATCACCTATGAAGCTGTCAAGGAGATGAAATATTTGGACACAGTTATATCGGGTGAGGTACACATATTCCTTTTAAAAGATGTAGGTAAATGTAAAGTTTTCTCTGTGCTTAATTAATTAAGCACAACACCATGAAGACGTATACAATAGTAGATACGTGATCCACGTATTCATAAGCTTGACACTATATAGATGGGAGTGGTGAGGCCAGGAATGGGGGAACTATACCTTCACTCCCAAATGCGTCTTAGTGGCATGGTGCTTAATTAATCAAGAACAGCGAAAACTCGTATCTTTTTGCCTTTTATCTGCTGACAATCTGTCCCATAGCACGCTGTTATATCGACTGAGCTATCCCGGTTCCCTTCAAGCAACATACCTCTTTAAAAAAACAGTAAAGCAGTTCTGATATTATAAATGCGGGGCTTTACAGATTTTGCACTGTTACTGACATAGTAATGGTAATTCAATTAATTTCTTATTTATTCACATGTAAATTTTACAGCCCAGAAACCAATTACAAAGTTAACACGAGTAAGAACAACGCAGCAACAAAACACAAACAAAATACAGAGCAAGGCAGTTTATACAACAATAATAATTTAATTTAAACAGCTCAAGATCTCTAAGTCTAAGAGTAATACACGTATATTCGCAAGGCCTCGCCATAGCTCAAGCGGTTAGTCGCTGGCTTCCCACCGCGGAGGCCCGGGTTCGATCCTGGGTGTGGTCAAGTGGAATTTGTGGTGGAAAAAGTGGCTCTGATNATATATATATTCGCAAGCAAAAGAACAAATAAAAGAAACAGGTACACACAAACGAAGACAAAAGCTAAGTAATATGTACCATTTAGACAATAACGAGTTAACAGTACCACCTTGACATTTCATTCGTTCATATTCTTGTTGCTCCCTCTGGAGAATAGGGCATCCCTTTCACTACAGTCTCTTAATCTGTAGACAGTAGCCTTTAGACGGGGGATCAGCACTTCGCAAGGCCGCTACCTGCACAGGACAACACAAACACAGAATAAACGCAGACAAACATCCATGCCTTGAGTGGGATTCGAACCCACGACCCATTGTTCGAGCGGGCGAAGACAGTTCATACCTTACACAGCGCGGTCACAGTGATCAGCGCCATTTTGACAACCATGATGAAATAAAAAGAGAAATAAATATATGTAACATATACGTGTATTAATACTGAGCAAAGGAATATTTCTGCAATTAATAATTAAGAGTACAATTTGTAAAGTATGTTTAAGAGACAGAGTTTCTGTTCGAAATACATCTACGTTGCTACAAATAGCACTGTCAGCTGAAGAGCATCTAACAGGAGGACAATTTTTACTAGCAGAGTAGTCACTGAACAGAGAACGAACTCGAAAACCAACGGTAATCAAAACAGAAGGGAAGAATTCAGTAATCGAACTGAGAAAAGAAACCGTTATAATAGAGGGCCACAAAATTCTGCTGAATGCGTTCCAAATTTTATCCCCTTTATAGGCGTAATAGTATTCCAAACTACAGATGCGCATTCAGCATTAGGCCTAGATAACGTAGAGTGTAATAATGTCATGTGACCGAGTGACTATATACGGAGTTTGAACTGGTAACCGGGTTTATTAAACTCTTAACTCGTCACTGCACTCTACAGTTCACTATCACACAGAGACTTCTGTTCCCTCAGTCACGGTCTTCATTGCTCTGCTTGGTAACATCTTACTTTGTTCTCTGGCTCACGCACTCGGACCGTCTCAAGACTTTCTCGTAAGTCAGAGTCACATGAAAGTTACTTTACCACTGGTGACAAGACCCTTGAGACTCACGACCAGTAATTTTTTTTTCAGCTGAACACTTGCCGTCATAGTTCTTATGTAATATATTGTACTCTCTGACGAGAGGATGGATCTCTTGTATACAATTGCTACTGGCCTTCGCCAGCTCAGTCATTCTCGGGTCCGAGTCCCGAGGGACTCATGACCATGTTTTACTGTCTCAGATTCGAGACTCCCCCAAGCTGTAGGGCCAGGTCCCCGTATTTATATTCTCTAGGACCAAAGGTGACACAGTTACACCCTCAGGCACTGGCTTCCATTTTTGTCGCCTCCTACGACTCGCAGGGCTACGGTGGACGTATTCGACCTCGTCACCAGACGGGTAATGAGAGTGAGAGTGAGAGTGAGAGTTGCTTTACGACTGGCGGTTTACCGCCAATCAGTTCGTTTTGGCGAGAAGCCTCTTGAAACTAACGACCAGTAATTTTATTTTTCAGCTGAACATTTGAGGCTATAGTCCTTATGTAACATCCTCTCTGACGATAGGATGGGTCTGTCGTTTACAATTGATGCTGGTCCTCGCCAGCGCAGTCATTCTCGGGTCCAAGTCCCGAGGGACTCATGACCACATTTTACTGTGACAGACGCGTATTGGTAGCTGGTCCTCCTTATGTAGCCTCTCCACCGTCCGCACAGTTCTTAATTTTTTGGGTGACGTCATTATTCGCGCGAACACTATAGAAAGCGCCGTTCTCCTGTTGCGTGTGCATTCGTTGTTACGCTAAGTTGTTTACTGTGCCGTAACCTAGTAATGGCTCTCTCTTCAATTATGTAACAGCATGAACACGCACTGAAGATATGAGAAACTTAATGTTACGCTGTAAACTAGGCCTAGCAACATAATACAATGAGAAAATAGAGAAGATCATGAAAATACAGCATAGAATTGGGAAATACTGCGAAGTCTTCTACAGAGTGAGTACGGGTTATAGTGGATTGAAAAATCGTATACTAATAGAACAAAAGGTCAGTTTTCCCAGAGAAAGTTATGACATGAATTTTATGGATATATAGTTTCATATAGTACCCATCGCACCAGCCTCGTATCGAACCTGTATCAGATTGCAGAAGAGTACAACCCACAGGAGAGTTGATAGGACGGTATATTTTTATGTCGTCTGCAAAAAGCGGACGTCTGTAATACTTAATTATATAACATAAATAAGTTTGAGAAGCAGAGATCCCAAAGTTTCATCATCCCGCAAACATAGACCGTCAGTTCTCTTGGTTAGGCAAGTGCGAAGCCGGTTTACATGATCACGAGGAAGTCCGAGTCGACTGAGCTCACGTTGAAGCTGGACGTGGGGAACGAAGTTAGAAGCAGAGTCGGATCAAAATAAATTGCATAATCTTAACGCTGAGAGCCGAATAAAGGGGGCAATATGATCAATATATGTTACCAGATTTGGTGCTGGTGGTGGAGGATTCAGATTTTGACACCATGCCGACAGCGGTTTAATTAAATTTAAGTCAATGAGATATACTGTCATATATAACAAATTAAAATAATTTGGACATGAATCTGTAGTTGCTAGTAGAGGCACTATTGCCTTATCTGAAGACAGGAATCATTACCGCTTGCTTCCTCGAAGTACGAAAATGTTAAAATAGGCTCAGATTAGAAATATTTTTATGTTTAAGTACAGGTAAAAGTATATCAGAATAACCCTTAATGCCAAAGCCAGGGATGTTATCAAAACCGAGAGATTTAGACCGTTTAGGACGTTGATGAGTTTTTAAATCTGAGAATCGGAAATATGCGATAAAGAGAGGAGTTCAGAAGGCGACGAAGGGGAGAGGAGAAGAATTGTTGTATACAGACTGAAAATGATCATCAAAGCGTCGGTGACTTCACAGGGTTCCGTTAAATGAGTACCATCAGCCACAAGTTGATTAGAAGTTGAATAATTTTTCCTGAAAAATGCCATGCAATTCTAAAATTGCTTGGGTTGTGATTTAAATTAACATCAATAAACTCCAACCACATACGTCTGTCAGCCTTTATCGTAGTCCTAACTAGTTTAAGATAAAAGGAAAATTTATTGTCTCGACCGTCGGAATTCTTTTTCCTAAAGCGCCTGTAAGAGTAATTCTTTTTCCTTACGTGATATGTTAAGGCACTAGAAACCCATTTCGGTATGTGGATTTAGTAATGTGACTGCCTGTTCCATACCAACTTGGAGGCTGACGTCAACAGCGTCTACAGATTTTGTTACAATACACGCATAATAATAATTCGATTCAATTCAATTCTTTATTATTTACGTGCCGAGTCAACAGCCGCAAGGCCAATTACGGCCAGCACAGTGTAGATTCAGATAATTACATTATGAATAATTACAACATAAAGTCGAAGATAAATTTCAGGGAAGCACTAGAGGTAAAACCCATTAATGCAGACAAGTAAACAAATAATAATAATAATGATAATAATAATAATAATAATAATAATAATAATAATTTCGTTAACTTAAATCTAACTTGTTATTGAGAACTGAGAAATGAAACGTATAAATATTTAAGTGTGAAATTAAAAGTATAAATATTCAAAGAGGATAATAATAATAATTGAGTTTAATTGTCTTTATATTCATGCAAATAATAATAGTAACAATTATACCATCTTTAAAAATCATTTGAGGAGAATTTTCCTGGCTCCGAATACGTCAGCCTCCCTGCAAACAACATTAGCAGCTGCTGCACATCGAGCAGAGGGACAATTTTTACATGAGGAGCAAACATTGAACAATGCAAAGTCTCTGATATACCGAACAGGAATTCGAAGACCAACAACTTCCAGAATTTCAAATCAATGTAAACTTGAGTAAGAAAGAGTGCATCGAGGCGATGTCTCTTAGTACGTAAAGTATGCAATTTTAACTTCTCCAGAGCAAGAGANATTTACGTGCTTGCACAACAACGCAGTAGCCTGTTATAACTGAACCACGAGCGATGATGGAAACAAACACGTACACACAAACTGAGACAAAAGACAAACAAGGTAACGCGGCTCATTGAGGCAATAATAAAATTCAATAAATATAATCACGCCAGTCATTATGAGGCAAGAAATATATGTACGCCAATATATGCATTCATACTGAGTAAAATTAATATTTTAGTAGTAAGAAAGAACGCCCCTGTAAACTACACAATGGCAACTGAAGCGCGTCTAGCAGAGAGAAATTTTTACTTGAGGAGCAGATATTGAACAAAAAAAAGTCTCTGATGTACCGAGCAGGAACGTGAAAACTAACAGTTTAGAAAAGAGAAGCACAGAATTTAGAAAGACAGTAAACTTTAACAAGGAACAGTATGTAATATTAGTAATCTATATAAATAAAAATAATAATTCAATTCGTGTTTATTTACGTGCAAACTTAACAGCACAGAGGCCAATAACAAAGCTGGCACGAGTACATAGGAACACAGATATAACTACAACACAAAATACAAATAATAATAATAAATACGAAAGCATTCAACAGATTACTTACAAAAACAGCTGCACTGAGAATTTCGCACATAGGGAAATCCGTACTATCTTTTAGCCTGAATGATTCGTCACTAAGTACATAAGTGCTAGGAAGAACCACTGTGATAAGAGAAGATGATGCCAATAATAATATATCCTTTATTTATTTACGTGTCCGAACGCAGTGAAGAAGCCAATTAAATGTGGCCCTGAAAGTGGATCAAGGCATGAAACCTACAAATAAGGTCTCACGATTTTCGCTTAATATTATGACAAAAATTAAAATTAAAACATATTACAGCCCCCCCCCCCTGTAATGTATAAACTGCCACTGGACTGTCAGACATTCGTGTTGATAAGCAGATAAATATTTAATGCTACTACGCATAATGATGAATACGTGAAAACACTGTTTGTGCCTATGAATTTATGAAAAAATGTCGCTTCCCTATGAATGCCCCCATACCGCATCTGCGCTACCTTCACAATGTAAGATAGACTTCAATACAACAAGGTAAGCAGCTAATAGGAAACTAAAGTGCTATAACTATAAATCTTTCGCTGTTATCGGCAGAGGGTTTCATGTTGTCAGTAATACAGGATGTTCATTCTTTTCTGCAGAGACACTCCGTAAGTATCCGCCCGTAACATTCCTGACCCGCAAATGTAACAAGGACTGGAGGATCTCAGGAACGGACCTCGTCTTGGAGAAGGGTGTTCAGGTCGTGATTCCTGTACTAGGATTGCACCAAGACCCTGAGTACTTTCCCGATCCAGAAAAGTTTCTGCCGGAGAGGTTCAGTGAGGAGAACAAGAGCCAAAGACCCAACTACGTTTACTTGCCTTTCGGCGAGGGACCGAGAATTTGTATAGGTGCTTATGATAAGCTTGGATATTGTTCTGTACTTCTGATTAATGAACCTGTAATATTCTTACTGTGACTGAATTAAGGATGCGTTAGGCGGTGTGGATCTCACATTAAAACTCCACTGATTCAGAATATGTTCCAATGGCAGGAGTTTGTGAACTTCGAGGTAAGAACTCGATATTCGCCTAATAGAAAATACCAACTTTTCATGAAATAATGTTTCGTGATTTACTTAATTAGTTACTGGACAAGAAGAGGGTGTGAAAGTAGTTGAATGCCCTTTTAATGTCCCTCATATCCAAATGACAACCTAATCTTCACGTGGTATAATTGTCAGATACGAATTTCTGGAGACAGGGCCAAGGTAGTGTATCCATTATATCTAGTGTATAGAAAGTTCCATTACTAACGATTATGTTATACGAGGGCGGTAGAAGAATTAAGCCCTTTAATTCCACAATTAAGACGAAGAAAAACAAATTTTTAATTAATCATTGGACTGTGAGCCCTATCTGAATACAGCCCATGAAACAGGAAAATCACTAATCAGAGGAGCGTCCAGCGATTCATGACAGGTTTTGTTGTCCTGTAAGTGAGAGGTTAAGTGCTCGTATCTCTTGTATGAACAATAATCTTTCATTCGGAATTAAGTCGTATTCCTTTAATCATAGACGACTAATCTGTTAGGTTGCTTAGGGATATGCAGTATTTTGAATCCCTCGTTGACGGTTGATGACTGGTCAAAACATGATGATTGTAAAGGTTAAAAATAAAGTGTTGTATTTTATAGTGTTTAAGCAGTATATTTAAAGGGACTGTTCCTACGTCAGTGTCTATGTAACGACTAAACAAAAACAAACTCCGTGGCCTGTAATCCGCAAGCGAACTATACCGACCGAGCGACCGCCACTTGTCGACGAAGTTAGTGCCAACTTTTGGGGATAGAGAGCGTCACGTGGTCAGCGCATCGGATCTCCACGGCCGCTAATCTTGGTTTTCTAGACCGGAGCCGCTATTTCCTTGAAATAGCTACTCAATTATCTTCACGAGGCTGAGTGGACCCCATTCAACCCTTCGGCCGCTTTACCCCCGGTGAAAGGGACTTCCCTAGCAAGTGGATAGGAGGCTGGGTAGAACGCAGAGCCCGTCTGGACGAAGTGGAGAAGAGAAACTTTCTGACCATAACAGGACTTGAACTCCGACCTCTCGGTCGTCCATCCTGTAGCCGGTCGCTATACCTATTGAGCCATCCTGACTCCTATATTAAAATTAAAGAGTCTTAAAAATTCTGCAAAGTTAAAATATTTGGGAGCGTCTATAACAAATTGAAATATGGTTCATGAGGAAATGAATAGAAGATTGAATTGGGTAATGTCTTCTAGCATTCAGTTGAGAACCTTTTGTTTTCTTGTCTGCTGTCTAAAAACGTAATTATAAAATATTTAAAATACTAATTATGCCTGTAGTTTTCATGGGCATGTAGCTTAGTCTCTGATATTAAGAAAAGAACAGAGACCGAGGGTGTCTGAAAACAGCTGTTGAGGATGGGGATGAACAATATAGGGACTCAGAAAATTGCATTATGAGCCCCGTAACTCGTATTAATTGAGTCCATGGCGCCGAGTCCTTCATGAGAAGCCAACAGTCGCTCAGCTACTCAAGAATTTCTCAATATTTTATGGAACCGTGTTCACAAGAGCCCACCACTGGTCCATATCCCGAGCCAGATGAAGCCAGTCCTTATCATTCAACTATATTTCTTCAACAATAAATCGCGGACAGCCGAGAATGGGTGGTACTTCATGTAGGGGACTGGGCGTGGGGCCAGCTCCTCACCAAACAAGAACTTCTTGTTACGAAATGTCACAAACGACCTCATAAATTATACTCCACGTCGATTAAAATTAGAATAATCAAATCAAGAAGGATGAGATGAGCAGGAAATATAGCATGCATGGTAGAGAATATGAATTCATGTAGGCTTTTGGTGGGAAAGCCAAAAGAAATGAGACCACAAGAAAGACCTAAACGTAGGTGGGAAAATAATATTAAATGGCTCTTNCAAGAACATATATTGTTACACTCGACGGAGGTCCTATTGATAATTGGCTCTTAGAGGATTAATGTGGGGCACAATTGACTGGATTAATCTGGCTGAGTATAGAGAATAGCGAAGAGCTCTTGTGAGCACAGTCATAAACCTTCAGGTCCCATAAAATATTGGGAAATTTTTGATTAGCTTCGTGGTTGTTGGCTTCTCAAGAAGTTGCAGCTCTGTGGAATTAGTTTGAAAGTGCTCAAAATAACTGTTGTGTAACTGAACAACAATTCGCTCGAATGCCTAGAAAATACGTATATATGTCGTGATTTAAGGCAAGGCTCTAAAATATACGTGGTTAATTTTTCAGGGATGCGCTTCGCTCTTATACAAGTCAAAGTTGGACTCATCAGTTTGCTGTCAGAATACGAATTCCAGCCTTGTGAAGAAACTTCGGATCCTCTGACAATAGATCCTACCAAATTCATAATGACACCGCTTGAAGGAGTATGGTTGAGAGTTTCACGTAGGTCTACTGCCTAAGGTTTTTAGTTATAAGGCTACTTCAATAATATTTATTGGAAGGCGCAGTGATTCGTATACCATTAAAAAAATCTGGACTCAGGTGCAAGGTATGATATATGCCTACATTTTCCTCCAAGTAAAAAAGGTGAGTGATAGTAAAATTTTGTATTGCACCATTTTATGCATTAAATTTAAGGGAACACAGAGCAAGAACCAGTAATCATGAGAATATTTTACATCACTGTGCATTAAACCATACTTGCGAAATCACGAGTATTATTTCTGTATATGAGAGAAAAGTCCATATATTTATCATAATTATATTAACTGTTAATTTTGATACATTTAGATTAAATATAGTATATATCACCCTTAGTTGAAGCATGCAACATATTATTGTCAAATTAATTATCTCAGGCAAGAAGTTCATAGGATGTAGAGTCGGAGATTCCATATAAATTATTAATTATCCTTTTCATTATATTCTTAATTATATTATGGAATAACACAGGGCAATTTTTATATATATGTATATATTGTTATAGGATTTTATTTCTGTACAGGGATCCCTTATGTATTTAATTGAAGTTCATTGAAAGCTAACACTGTAATGAAACCACAGAGAGAAGTTGTGTTTCAAGTAAGTAGTAAATAAAATATTCTATGTACCTTATTGCACTTTCATATTTCATACTTGAATTTGTAACGAATCCCAATTAATATAATTTAATAAACAGTAAATAATATGCAGTGTTAAGGAAATATATGATCACAAGTTACTTCCATAATTTCCAAAACAAATATAAGAATAAAATATTACATATAATCTATTAATACTACATTACAGCCAGATATTCTCAGGGTTAGAAAGGACAAGGCCATTTCAGTTTAGCTGCTGACTGTCCTGGAATATATATCCTCCGCTCAAATGGAGACGACGTTCCTAATCATTTTCTCCAAATTGATACACTCTTCTCCATAAAAGTACCTGGAACAACGTACGAAGAAAGGAGAAAGAAAGAAAAGTGGAACGCTCTTCGTTAAGGAGTCCAGTGAATGGGCGTAACAGGCTTTTGACCCAGGGATCTAGCACATGCGTAATTCTTCAGCAGTTATATTTGGCAAGTAGGCCTATTTCCACTGAAATATCGATTGAACATAAGTAAAAGTAAAGCTATCCCCGTACCAGGCCGTGAAGGTCCATAGGGATGTGAGACGTTGAGGGTGCCGCATTGTCTAGACAATCGACTCAAAAATGGCATGTTCCAAATTTGAATAATCCCGCAAATCAAATAATTCAGACCAGAACTAAATAAAAGTTTTCTACAATTTACCTTACAGGTTTTCAAGTATTGTAAAGTTTAGAGCAACTCCCTTCATTGATGCTCTTTCACAGTAATTTTATATGATGCATTAACACTGGAGATGCCTCAGAAGTCCATTTGACGTTTTCAGCTTTGTAACATTGAGTGACGCCCTGGAAATGATATGGGGTGGGGGAGGTGATAACTTACTTCAAGCCTTTCTAACGTTCGCTTGGACGGACTGAATATTCTCATGAAAATTTTCAATCAAGAGACGGACGCTTTTACTCCGAGAACTGAACCTGAGATATTCCGAATGCAAGATACAGATGCTAACCATTCGACCTCGGTATTCGATCTTGACATGTGTAAATATAATTCGTGCCTACTGTATACAGGCTAACAGTGTGAACATAAGAGGCAATGTATTCTCCCGCGGATTGCAGGTGTTTCTCATTTTACACATCTCTCTTGGTTCGATGTAAATAAAGTATTTTTAAAACATACAAATATAATTTTCAAAGCTAATTTACATCACCGATATGACAGTGTATTATAATCTAATGATTCCTTCCTCCGTGGCCTGTAGTCCGCAAGCGAACTATACTGACCGAGCCACCGACGCTTGTCGGAGAAGTTAGTGCCAAATTTTGCGGATAGAGGGTGTCGAGTGAGTACGGGAATGGGAATTGACTTCACTTGAATTCCAAAGTTCCAAGGGAAGAGCAGTGTGGGACGTTACGCGTGCTATAATTACAGTAATCTTAAGACTGTAAGAACTAATTTTAGTTACGATTAATGCAGATCCAATAAATCGATTAACTGGTTCAAACCACTTTCTTAGTCTTGAAGCACGTGACAATATGAACATACTGGTAATAACGTTAGGAACTCATAATTAATGAAGAATAAAGCCTATGCTGATAGTCTGGTTGATTTTCTACACTATTTGTCCCTACAGAGAGGAAAGGCTGGCCTTGAGTTACGTAGAATATTTGATCACAATAGAAGAAAATAGTTTTTCTATATAATAAAATATAATATGCATTACGTCAGTAATTATGTTAATGAAATTGTTTTATATACTAATTGAATAAGTAGTAATAGTAATTTTATATTTGTCTCCCCTAAAAATGAAACTACATACACTTAATCTTTTGGTATTTGGCGAGGAATGAACACCATTAATACCAAAGGCTTGGCCATTTACATTCCTCGCATCCTATTTCCTTAACATCCTCACGTATGTCTTCTACTAATTCCCTTCTCAGTCTACATCTTCCGAGAAGTATATGAACCAGACTTTTGTATGTGTTCTGTCTCTCTATCCAAGACATGCTTATGCTACATTTACTGCAATCTGCTTGATTCAATGGCAGAGTAACAGGGTTCTTTCGTTAGATGTCAGTGGGAAGATGTTCTTTGGAAACTGACTCATATCTGGATATAAGGCATGATGTTTCGTGGGTTTAATCGGTCTCCGCTTCATGTAGACGACAGCGACAAGAACCTACTCTCTCTAACAGACCCAAGGAAATGGTTATGCCTTTTTTCTACTTAAAGACGCGGCTGCTTAAACTTTCACAGTGTTTACAAATTGCAAGTAACGGTACTATTGTACTAGACTTACGGAGAGCATGACGTAAATATGCCGTCGTGGCATATTTCCAGGTACTATCATGGTTTTTATTTGGATAAATTTGGAGACACCATGGAAAACCTATGAACAGCCAATAAGCTGGTACCATTATATCAACTTGTGCGGTTGAAGGGTTATTATTTCGCCTGTATTACACACAAGCATATTTCGGACTTCCGTGTTCTGAAGGGTTCTTTTTATTGCTAGTGGGGTGGGACTAAGTCCCTTGCACTGCGGCGACTTCTGGCCTATTGTACCAGCCCCAGATGATAGGTGAGGATAATTGGTGGAATGAGGATTGGCAGGGGAAATCGAAGTGCTCGGAAAAAACCTTCCCCAGCACCACTTTGTCCACCACAAATCCCACTTGACAAGACCAGGGATCGAACCCGGGCCGCCGCTGTGGGAAGCCAGCGACTAACCGCTTGAGCTATGGCGCGGCCATATTCTGAAGGACGCTCACAGGCTTTCCGTAAATACTTATGGCTGCTTCGCTGACATTGAGGTGAGCGCTCCTAGGCCTGCCGAGAACTCTCCAACAAGGCTTCTCAAGTATTTCATATTTCCGCTTCATTGAACAGGCTCATAATGTGAAACCCAGCATTTTCACACAGCAAAACGCTAATAAATAGCGTTCCCTCTAAGCCAGGGATGAAAACTGTGCAAGTCTTGATATCTTCTGAGCAGTAATTGGGTTATCTTGGGCAACTCGGGTGGAGAGGGTCAGCAATTTTCGAATAAACATTAAATTTATAAACTCCCTAAAATAGCAAACAATTTTAGTTTGTTTGTTTCTTTATCATTTCCAAGTCAGTACATAATAGACCAATATAAGTGGACGGAAGACTCGAGACACGTGCGCAGGATTGCGACAGCCGCTGCCCAAATTAACGGCCGTGGGGCATCCGTTGCGCTGACCACGTGACACTCTCTATCCGATAAAGCTGGCACTGACTTCGCCGACAAGTGGAGGTCGCTCGTTCGGTATAGTTCGCTTGCGGACTAAAGCCACGGAGTTTATTTTTTGTATCTATTTTTTCCTTCTCTATGTCTCATACGAAGTAATTATGCCATGTCTGTGCAGATGGTCTGTTTAGGGTTTTAATTAGTACGAGATCGTTTATAGAAAATCGTGAAAATTACTGTAGCCAGTTTCCTTCGAAATGAGTCAATGCCAGTAGCAAAAATATCGCTTCAAAGACACAGGCGTCAGCCGCAGGAAAGCACTGAAATGGATCTTACGGACGTCGATAGAGAGGATGTGCATATATTACATCAGGTTCAGGTTCAGTTCCAATGGCGAGGTCTTGTAAATATGGCCATGAAGTTTCGAGATGCACAAAAGAGAATGTCTTGAATCGCTAAACGAAATTAAGCATCTTCTTCATCGAGTTATTTCAGAATTGCTTATCGGCTGTCAGATTACTCGAGCAAGATATGCGCAATGACGTCAGTGTTGGGAAAAAGTTATCACTTATCATGAATGAGTATATAGACCCATTTAATGTAATGTGGCTTCCATAACAGTGAATGTATGAACCTGACACTCAAGATATGAAATTAAATTTAGCTTCCTTCCTTCTCCTCTTCTTATAATTCCACTTAAAGGGGTCTCTAAGACCTGTACTGGTTTCTTATGTCTTTTTTTCGTCTTCCAAAACTTTACTATAAATATCTAAGAAGAATTGTCGCTTTACGAACTCCACTATTTTCTCTTGCTCTACACATTACATACGTGTATATTTCTCACAACATTGTAGCATGTACCCACTGCTACGTAATGACTCTGTAAACAACGTTCGTTGCTAGGCAACAGATTCCTAACATACACAATTGAACAACAACAAAGGGACGGTGTTTTCTGTACGGTCTTGTTCAGATATTTTAAGCAGGACAATTAATGAGAATCAGTGCAATTCAAATGAACGAAATGAAATAGTTGGTTGGATAGTTAGCGGCTTAATTAGAGAACTGCCGACGTTCAGTCCTTGTGAGCCGTTGCTTTTAGAAGCTGGCAGCTGGGACAAAGGGACAGTTTGGGAATCCAGAGTAAGGGGAACGTCCGCCGTTTAAGTCTTTACCAGGCAACGGCTAGTGAAGACATTGCACACTCACTCACTCACTCATGGACCTGAGCCCTTCTTGAAAAGCCTCCAATTGTGCAGCAATTAAAGAATTTTCCAACATTTTATGGATCCCGAAGGTTTGTTACCGTGTTCACAAGAACTATCCAGTCGTCCGTATCTTGAAACAGATCAACCCAATACATAACATCCCATTCTATCTCTCTAAGATCCATTTAAATATTGTCCACCCACCTACGTCTCGGTCTTCCCAGTGGACCAGAGTTCCTTCTGGCTTTCCCACCAATATCCTACATGCATTCCTGTTCGCCCCTATTCGTGCTACATGCCTTGCCCACCTCATCCTCCTTGACCTGATCATTCTAATAATACTTGGAGAAGAGTGAAAGTTACGAAGCTCCTCATTATGCAGTTGCAGTTAAAGTCTGTGATGAATAAATCAAATTACCAAACCAAACCAAACCCCATACATCATGCACGTGACAATAACATTCTCTGCTGAATTATGCACCGGAGAGTGACCCAGCATTAGCCAGTGACCTTTATATTTGATCCAATAACATTTCTTTCCATTGAATTGATTAGAAGAGAAAATATTCATACAAAAACTGCTTTATGTAAATCGAATAAGGTTACATGTTTCTCC